TATATTTTTATCTAATTATCGTGACTTTCCTGCAGATCGCCGGTGAAGGATTAAGCAACGAGAATTGCTGGATCATCAGCGAAAATCTTGTCAATGCGATTTACAGAGTATTGCTAGTAAAATTGCTGAACGATTCGCGATAAAAGGATCATGAATCCATCGAGTAAATCATCTCCAATTGATCGATGAACAAGCCGTTGTTGGGAAGAGGACGATCCACCAAGAGACGAGTCACCACCTCTTGAGAGCGTACCAGATGCGATGAAGAGCCTCCTCTTGTTGTGCGGACTTGAGGATGAAGCTTCCTAACATGCACCCTACTTCCATCTAGCTCCTCTCCGTTGAGTGACAGCCGCTGGAGAGCCGCAAAGTCACCGTTTTTCCACTCCACTAGGTGACAGCTACTAGAGACGACTTAACGACCCATTTCATTAATCTCTAGACTTCGTGAGAAGATCTAGAGATTGCCCATGTCATCTTTGTCCAAGGAGAGCCTTCGAGGCCATGGACACTACACGACGATCCTCCCGAATGCTCAAGATTCCGGTGCATTACCGACGCATCACTGTTGTAACGCCGGAACTCTATTTTCATACTTTCAACTTACTTTACGCTTCATTTAGTGATAGTTTTTGTGATTTTAATTTATCAAAATATACTTTGTTCTATTATGATTCTTCTGGCTTTTATAGATCTTAATTCGATCAATTAAATCATCTATAATCGCTTACGTAAGAATCGTTGAACGGAACTCTGTTTCTGCCTGATTCACGTTTGTCAAGTGCTGACGTCATCCTGACAACACCCTTATTTCCTTTTTTCGTGAATTTTAGATATATTTCCTTTTCATTTCCTAGTATAAAATTCATAGAAAATTATATTGAGAAATTTTTTGAATAATTACCAGATATTATATTACATCCATATGTTTGACCTAGAAAATTACTACTATTTTTAGAAGTTTTATTGAATTATAATCGATATATTTATTCAAAAATACTTCTAAATATTTAAAATTTTTTATTTTTTAGTTTTATAAATTTTAGATTTACGTGATTTAATATACAATGATTGAGTCGCGTCAGTGAGCAACCGGCACGAGTTTGAATCTTCTTAGAGCCAAAACTCATATTTTTTTATCTAATTATCGTGACTTTCCTATAGATCACCAGTGAAGGATTAAGTAACCAAAATCACTAGATCATTAGTGAAAATCTCGTCAACACAATTCAAGGAGCATTGTTACTAAAATTACTCAATGATTCACGATAAAAGGATTACGAATCTATTAAGTAAAGCATCTCCGATTGATCGATGAATAAGCCATCGTTCGAAAGAGGACGATCCACTAGAAGACAAGTTGTCACCTCTTGAGAGCGTACCGAATACAATGAAGAACCTCTTCTATCTATGGAGACCTGAGAATGAAACTCCCTGACATGCGCCCCACCTTTATCCAGCTCCTCTCTATCAGGTGACAGCCGCTAGAGAATCACAAAGTCGCCATTTTTTTGCTTCGCTAGGTGACAGCTGTCAGAGATGATTCGATGACCCATTTCATTAATCTTTTGACTTCACAAAGAGATCTAGAGATTGCCCACATTGTCTTTGTTCAAGGAAAGCCTTTGAGGCCATGGACATTACATAATGATCCTCTCGAACGCTTAAGATTCTAGTGCATTGTTGACACATCACCGTCGCAACGTCAGAACTCTGTTTTCCTACTTTCAACTTACTTTACGTTTCATTTAGTGATAATTTGTGTGATTTTAATTTACCAAAATATACTTCATTCAATTACAATTCTTCCAACTTTTACATATCTTAATTTGATTAATTAAATCGTCTATAATCACTTACAAAAGAATCACCGGGCAGAACTCTATTTCCATCTAATTCTCATTCGTCGGGTGCGGACATCATCTTGACGTCTGCACCCTTATTTCTCTTTTTCGTAAATTTTAAATATATTTCCTTTTCATTTTTAAGTATAAAATTCATAAAATATTATATTCTTTGAAGAAAATTTTAAATAATTACCAGGTATTATATTGCATCCCTATGATTGACTGGAAAATTACCACTATTTTTAGAATTTTTATCGAATTATAATTGATATATTTATTCATAAATAATTCTAAATATCTAAAAATTCATATTTTTTAGTTTTATAAACTTTAAATTTGCATGACTTAATATACAATGGCTGAGTCACTTGTTTCATGAATAGAAACAAGTGGAGTGTTAAACCAAGATTACCCTATGAATTATTTTAGTGAGAAATTAAATGATGCTAAACTTAAATATTTCACTTACGATATTGGAGACATTATTCACTATCTTAGGAATTTATATTTTATTATGACCATGTCGCATTACCATATGTGAACCTAAAAGAAAACTAGACCCACAACATGGCCATGGGGATGAGTTTCTACAAGTGAATGCATTTTTCCTCAAGTATGAATTGGGGGCTGATAATAGAGTTGATGATACCCTTAGTTGTTGAACACTCTTACTATCTATGATAAGCATTGAGGTGATTCGCTTTGAAAAGATAAAAGAGGTTTGTGGAGATTGCCCCAACTTTAGTCAGAGAGTTAACACTCTTAGATCAACACCTTCTAAAGAAATTAAAAATTATTTACTACATGATAAATATTTATTTAAAGGGCATCGATCATGCATTCCATGTACTTCTATTTGAGCCTTTTTAGTATGGGAAATACATGCAGGTGGCCTCACTAGTCATTTTGGGAGAAACAAAACTATGGACATGGTTGAAGATCAATTTTATTGGCCTAGTCTTAAAAGGGATGTTAAAACTGTTCCACGATGTCATACATGTGTTCTAACAAAACAAAAGAAACAGAATACTAGATTATATACTCCACTTCTTGTTCCCACATGCCTATAAAAGATGTTAGCATGAATGTTTTTTTTAGGCTTACCTAAAACCCAAAAGAAACATAATTCTATTCTTGTTGTTGTTGATAAGTTTTCTAAAATGGATCACTTTATACCTTGTTTTAAAACTTCATATGCATATAAGATTGCTAAATTATATTTTAATGAAATCATAAGACTTCATAGGCTACGAAAAATATTAGTGTTGGATAGAGATGTGAAATTTAGTAGTTACTTTTGGAAAATATTATGGGATATTATGGGAACCAGATTACAATCTTCTACAGAATTTCATCCTCAAACTGATTGTCACACTCAAGGGGTGAAAAGGAGCCTAGGAAATCTTTTAAGATGCTTAGTTCAAGAACACTTAGGAATGTGGGATTTGATACTTCCAAAGGCTGAGTTTGCATACAATAGTTCTGTTAATAGAACTGTAAGATTGAGTCCTTTTAAAGTACTCCATGGATATAAACCTAGAAAATCTATTGACCTTATTCCTATGTCAATGTATTCTAGAATTTCAGAATCAGCATTCTTTTGCACAACATATTTAGAGCATGCATAAAGATATTCCTCATCGTATCCATAGTAGGACAGTATCATATAAGAGTCTACCTCACTCTCACAAAAAATTTAAAGAGTTTCATGATAGAGATTTTTTTCATGATCTGAGTGAGGCCAAAAAAAGTTTATGTCGGGCACTATTACGAAGTTACATGCTTGTAGTGCAGGACCTTTCACAACTTTGAAACAGATTAGAATGAATACATATGTTATTGACTTGCCAATTGATTGGGGAATTAGCTCTACTCTCAATATCTCTGATTTAGTTGTGTATCAAGGTCCACCAACTATTCCTAGTGATCCATTTGAGCCTGGTCCATCCTTTGTGAGCGAACCAAAACCCGAGTGTCCACCAGCTATATTTTCTGCATGACATGAGTAAATAGACAACATACTGGATAAAGAAATTACCTCTAATAGAAAAGAAAACTTTTAGGGATTCCTTGTACGCAGGAAAGGACATCTGCCATCAGATGATTCATGGATTTTTTTTTTTTTTGAGTGATAAAAGTTTGACCTCATTCTGAGGTTACATAAGTGGGATCTCATTCGCACAAGGGGCGAGGATGACATGGAGGGTGAAAGACCTCTTTTTTTAGAGGGGATGTGATAATACTGGAGATAGACTCCAGTTCGCTCATCATAGTTAAAGAAACCTGTTGATCTGCAGTTGGGCTGAAAGAGCTTTTGAGTTCATGAAGTTGGAATATCTGGTTGACAGTAGTAGGACGTGTAAACTTCCATGTTGTGCACCATGAGATGTTCCTGTAAGACAAGAATTTGCTGTAGTAAGTGGTTCTAAGAACGAAATAAAATGATATAAAGTGGTGAGAAAAGAGTTGTTATGATAGTGAGGAGTATAGAACAATGCCGGAGTATGACAATAAGCCCAAATATGAATTTGCCTTCCTAGTGTTGCACACGTCTAATCTTTTTTTGAGGGCCCTTTCCCTCACCCTCCACTAATTGTCTATGATGGGCTAGTGATTTCAGGAAAAGAAGGAGGCTGTCTCTCTCTTTTTTCTTTTTTCTTTTTTTTTTCTTTTTTAAAAAGAGAGAAAGGGAGGGAGAAAGAAATAGAGAATCGAGAAAGAGAGAGAAGAGAGAGGGTCAATCCTATGGATATAGATCTTTTCTTTCTCATGGGTTCAAGCTGGCTGATGGTACTAATGAGATCTTGAGAGAGGTGCTAGGTTGGCGATTCACAACTAGTTTGGCAGGTCTGATGTGCTATAGACCTATAGTTCAAAAGTAGGCAGATGTCAACATGTGCTGATAGTTCTATGTCCTCACTACTTGAGGGTGATAGATAATAGATGTGAGGTGATTATGAGGAGAGTAATGATTGGAAGTAGTGTACCCGAGCGGATTACGATGTGCCTTATTGTCCGTCTTGTGTTGATAGGCAAAATGCATTCCACATCGGTGGTATAGGATGAACGCCATGATGATGTCATAGTTGTGGCTTGTGATAGACCTGAAAACAGAAACAAAGGAAGCACGTACCTGTATCTCCATTGTGGTCTTCAGCAGCCAATAGTAACCACCCTTGATCTCCTCCAAGCAATACGCCACTGCCGTGGAGGGGCTGGTAGTGGAGTGCGGTGTATGCGTAAAGAGGGTATGCCGAGTCGCTCAAGTCTATGAGCACCTCGGGCTGCGATGGGCATGTCCTGCCAAAAAGAGAAGACTGTCCTCCGATGCGATCTGACTCCATGCGTAGCAAGGGCGTTGGCTATCTGATTCCCTTCTCGGAACTGATGCGTAATGGTTGTGATGCGTCCTCGACATCGCATGATGTCTGCCCAGATATTCTTGAGCCTCCAATGAGGACAAGAGTCTGCACGTAACATGTCCACTAACACTTTGGAATCAGATTCTAAGACAATATTAGTAATATTTTGCTCCTCACAAAGAAGCAAACCATCCCGTATTGCCATAGCCTCTGCCTCAGTATTAGTTCGTATATTATAAAAGTTCGAAAAGGCAAAGAGAATGCATCCTGTACTATCATGTAAAATACCTCCTCCTCCAGATGGTCCAGGGTTGCCTTGAGATGCTCCATCGACGTTGAGTTTCCACTGTCCAACTCTCGGTGGTGTCCATCTAACAGATCGGATAGTAGTCCAGGTCTGTGTAGATATGATATGGAGTCCCCAAAGCCCAAAAGCCTCACAAACAAAACGCAAGCATTTCGTTTTGTTTGGCACTAAGGAATGAGTACTTCGAAGCCATTGTGTTACGTGCCTCATAATTTCTGTGACACGCATCACTTGGCCTGCAAATCGAGATGAGTTACGTCCCTTCCATATTTCCCATAACATATATGCTATAGAGATACGGATAAAGGGACTAAGCTTGACACTCGTCGGTGAGTCAATGACTCTCCTAAAGACCTCTAGTAGTGGTCTCATAGGTCTATACGAGAGCATTGAAAGCCAATTCGCTAGAAGTTGACGCCAACACTCGACAGCGATATCACTATGGAAAAATAGATGTTCCATACTTTCGTTCGTCGTGATGGAGCAACAATGACATCTCCTTTCCACCTCTTGATCGGTGAGAATCACTCGATCGTCGGTGGGTAGTCCTCGGTGCATGAACTTCCACAGGAAGAATGAAACACGAGGTGTGATGGCCGGATGCCATATGAGATTTCCCCAAAATGTCTTTGGGGAGCGGTTTCTAAAGTGCTCCTAAGAGGAGCTACAAGAGAAACTGCCATCTACGGTAAGTGTCCAGATGGGTTGGTCCTCAGTAAAACTCATCTCAGTCATGGTGATGGCTAGTAACAAGTCCGACGGTAGTCCATGCCTCTCAATAAGTAGACGAGTGTCTCCTTGGAGAAGCTGGGCTACCGTCAAGCGAGGCCAAGAGGATGTGAAAGTGGTAAAACTGGCCAATAGTGTGTCCTCTAACCAAGTGTTGTACCAGGCACTGATCGTGCCTCGCCCTACTCGCCAACGAATAAGGGGCATCATCTCTAACCAATGTCGCTGCCAGTCTGCCCATCGTTTGACTCCTTTGATGTCAGCCGGCTGTCAAGCCCACTCACCATATTTGGTTGACACAAAAGAGCCTAGCACCGATGGTGTAGTCCTCATCCTCCAAACGAGTTTCTTTTGAAGCATGTTGAGTACATCTTGAGGGCGCCGAATACCTAGGCCACCTTCATCCGTAGGTCGACATGCTTTCTCTCAAGAAACTCGACGTTGGCGACGAGGTCCCTCAAGTTGTCCATCCCAAAGGAAGGACGTGCATATCCGTCTAATAGTCTGTAAGACGGTGTCTGGTACCTCATGGACTGCCAAAAGGTGTAATGGCATGCTCATGAGGACATGGCGTATCAACTGAATCCGTCCTCCAGGGGATAGAAGCTGTAACTTCCATCCCGCTAATTTCTTCCTCAACTTCCCCACTAGGGCGTCAAAATAGTGTATGCGCCTACGGCCGAGGAAGATAGGACATCCTAGATATTCAAAAGGTGAGTGTCCACGAGAGAACCCTGTTAGGCCCTGGATGCGTCGTATGGTCTCTATGGGGGTAGAAGGGCCTACCATGAAGCTACTCTTCGAGGCATTTACGAGTTGACCTGCAGCTCGCTCATACCTCGAGATAATACTCATGAGCCTTCTAATGGATGTCTCACATCCATTGAGGAAGAGTATCGCATCATCAGCAAAGAGGGAGTGTGAGATGATCGGACAACCCCTCTTCGAGTAGTATGGTCGGATAAGTCCTTGATTGATCGCTCGAGTGAGGGATCGACTGAGGACTTCTTCGACCAAGATGAAGAGGGTGGGTGATAGTGGATCGCCCTGTCGTAGACCTCTCGTGGCCGTGAAGAATGGTGTAGAGCTACCATTCACCAATAAAGAGAAGTGATTCTCTCTAACACATGCATCGACTAAGTCAATGAAGTCGTCGGTGAATCCAAAGCATCTAAGAACCTTAATGAGGAAACTCCACTCTATCCTATCAAAGGCCTTCTCCATGTCTAATTTGATGATGATGTTGGAGCCTCGACAGTCATGGCCAAGGGACTGTGCTAGTTCATGTATTAGCATGATGTTATCGTGAATGTACCGTCCCTTGACAAATCCGCATTGCTCTGGAGATATAAGTCTATCAAAGAAACTACTCAATCTACGTGTAACGATCTTAGATACAACTTTATAACACACGTTACATAAACTGATAGGTCGAAAGTCTCTAAATGAAGTTGGGGTAGTCACCTTCAGTATAAGTGCAAGGAAGGTGGCCTTCCAACTTCGTGTAAAGACTTTACGATGAAAGATTTCCTTGATAGCTTGGATGAGATCAGTGCCAACGATATCCCAACATGAAACATAAAAATCAGCTGGGAAACCATCAGGCCCGGGTGCACGATGTCTGCTCATAGAGAAAACTACTTCCTTGATCTCTTCTCCCGTGGGTATGGCTATCATGAGAGAGCTCTCATGGTGAGTGACTAATGATGGGATCGAAGTGAGCATATCATCAGAAATCTCGATCGGCTGAGAGGTTAAGAGAGTACGAAAGTACTCAACCCCTGCCTCCTGCATGCGGGAAAGGTCCTGATCATATGTCTCTAAAAGGGAGGTATAATCTGAACGTGAGCGGTGAGCGACTAATGCATGAAAGAAACGAGTGTTTCTATCAATAAATTGCTCCCGATCTTCTCCAGCTTTATCAGGATGGGTTCACTACACACTCGGCAGAGTTGGTGAGGAGCACAAGAGATGGAACTTGTGACCACATCAACAGCATACAGGCTGGAGCACATTTACGAGTGATTTTTAGTATTATTAATTTCATTTAATGTGGCTTGCCTTTTTCGAGGATGCCACATTAAATGCTCGCATTGAATGCGGAGAGGAGAAATGGAGTGCGAGGGAGAAACAGTCAGCTGGAAGACTAATTCTTACAAACTCAATGGCCCATTTATGGGCTGAGTAGGCCACGAACCATAACGGTGCAGGTGGAAGGAAGGAAAACTGTTTGGGACATTTCCTAAGCTTCTTGCTGTCATGATTACCGAGGTGACTGTGAGGTGCCTATAAATAGAGGGTCACCTCTCTTGATTCAGAGCAACACAGAGCAACTCTCTTCTACCTTTGTTTCACCATAGAAAGAGTGTTTGGAAGAGAGCTTCCAAGAAAGATCTCTTCGGTTAGTGAGTGCATCAGAGGGCCAAGATTAAGAATCCGTTCTTTGAGATCCTAGAAGGGTCAAGATCAGAGATTTTGTCTCTAAGTTCCTGAGGAGTAATTCTCTCGTACTACTTTTCACATCTAGTGGAGCTTTCGTCCTTGCCCGTAGACGTAGGAGGCCAATCACTGAACCATGTAAAATTCTTGTGTTAGTACTCTTGTTGTGAGTTGTTCTTTCTTCTACCTATTTCACATTGTGAGCATCGCTTCCGCTGAAGTCCATATAAGACGTCTTGCTCTAACAATTAATGTTGTCTTTTGTGTTGTTTTTGAACCCTATATAAATTCTCATGATCTTATACGTGGTAGAGAAGAATTTTTTAGACTCGTTGTCTGTTTTACTACGTGAAGAGAGGCTGTGAAAATCGTGCATCACCACTCCGTGAAGGGGCCACCGTGAAGGTCGCGTATGCTCGTTCTGTGAAGGAGATGCCGTGAGCAACCCATCCAGCACCACCACATCCATCCTTCTTCGCCCACACTTTCTTCTATCATCATCACCACCACTATACCTTCCTTTTCTCCGCCACACTATCACCGTTTCACTTTCACCATTTCTAACTTCTGCCAACACCATCCGACGTCATCATCATCATCTCTGCATCTAATGCCTACATCTTCCTCTCCACCGACCGCAGCCCACCTCTTGTCATCACCACCATCAGTCCAACCTCCGCCTCTGTCCATTCCATCCTTCCCCGCATCCCTTCGCTTCCTCCACCCTGCACAACTCAGTCATGTTTTCCTTTCTTTATTCTCGCCCACCGGTTAAGCTTAAGTCCCGGTTCACTGTAACGTGAATTCCAGGACTGAACCGCAGCTATTGATCAACGACGAGGACAGTTAACCCTCTGCCAAGCAACGTCTAGCTTCAATGCACAATCCATCATCAAGCTGACGTTTACTTCAACACCAGGGTTATTTTTTAACTCTTTATCTTTCCATTATGAGTTATTTGTTTTTTTAGTATATTCTTTTGCAATATTGTCATGGTGTGATCCTAGATAGGTCCCTGAATATATAGTTGGTGGACATAGTAAGAGAGAGAACCCACATGATCCGCACAATTCAATTTATTGACTGTAGGAGCACCCTAATCTCTAGCAATTCGTTAATTGCGTCAACCCAATCCTTTTCAATTCTTGTGGGAATACTCGGACCGAGCTTATTCAATCCCTCTAGATCTCTTAAGTCATTTGTGAGAGTCATGCATAGTTTTTTGTCCTAAGTTAAATTAGTCTAACATTATCTTGTCCCACATCAGATACACAGACTTTCATGCATGTAAATATAGACTTTTAGTGTACACAGGATCACAGGGAGATAATGTCGTCTGCCTGCGCACGCGCGAGGACCACGAGTGCCCACCATGGCTGAAGATGTGGTAAGGTTGGTCTCTCATCGCGCACCGTAAAACATAAGGGCCGAAACTACCGTCAATTTCAAAGCCCCTAGTCAACAGTTCGATTGATATCCATGACCACGCCAAAGTTTTAATAGTCTCTCTCTCGTAGGGATACATGGACTTCTACGCGGGCAAATATAGACTTTTACTGTGCACAAGATCACGGGCAGATAACGTTGTCTGCACACGTAGAACATAAGGGCCAAAACGACCCTTAATCTCAAAAACCCTTGCGAGTCCAAGCTGACCGAGTACCTTGATCCTGATTGGTAGTCAAGAATCATAAGTCATAAATAAGAACTTCTATAAAATTATAATTCAACTTTTCTTCTACAGATATCCCCCTCCCGTTCGAGCTGCTCTCACTCCTCCCGCCGCCGCATTAGTCACTCTTCCTTCTTCTAAGCGTTGTAAGAGCGCAAAGGGGCAATGGAACACCTTGTGACGCTGGGGGTAGCGGTGGGTTTCCTCTGTGTCTTGTGCAGCTTGTTCATGAGGTGGAATGAGCTGAGGCACTGGCGGAGGGGCCTCCCTCCGGGGACGATGGGCTGGCCGGTCGTCGGCGAGACGATCGAGTTTCTCCGGCGGGGTCCCGACTTCATGAAGAAGCAGAGAGCCAGGTGAGGGATCTCCTCTCCTCTGTAAATAATGGCCGTTGCGGCGGCGAGAGCAAGCAAAACCTGGCTGGCGGTGATCGGAAATGTTTGCAGGTATGGGAGCTTGTTCACGTCCCATCTGCTGGGCAGCCCCACCGTTGTGTCCACGGATCTGGAAGTCAACAGGTGGATCCTCATGAACGAGGGCAAGGGGCTCGTTCCGGGGTACCCGCGGGCCATGGCCGTGATTCTCGGGGAGGGGAATGTTTCGGCGGTCCACGGCCCCGTCCATCGCGTTGTGAGGGGCGCGCTGATGTCTGTGATCGGCCCCGCCGCCGTGAGAGACCGGCTCTTCCCCACGTTAGACGAGTTCATCGGATCCCGCCTCCACAGCTGGGGCGGCGGGGGCGCCACTCTGGACGTCCAGGAGAAGGCCAGAGAGGTCAGTTTGGAGATTAAGCAGGATCCCTCCGCCGCCGTTCGGGGCGAGATTTTTGACCTGCGGCGTGTCTTTCGTTTCCAGATGCTCCTCTCGTCAACGCTCAAGCTGATCTCCGGGACTGAGACCGGCGAAACGGCGGCGGAGCTCAAGGCGGAGTTCTTCACGCTCCTTCGGGGGACCCTCTCTCTCCCCGTCAATCTCCCCGGCACCGCCTACCGCCGCGGACTCCAGGCAAGCTCTCTCTCCTTCTCCCTCCGCCGCTGTCCTCGTCGTCGTCCTCCTCCTCCTCCTCCTCCGGCCACTCTGACGGCCTCACTCTCCAGGCGAGGAAGAGGATCACCAGCCTGTTAAGGGACCTGATTGAGGAGAGGAGGAGCCCTTCCGCCCCGAAGGGCGGCGGTGATATACTCAGTTTCCTTCTCCGGGAGGAAGAACGACAAGAAGAGCAAGAGGTCCACCGGACGAGGCCCAAGCTCACCGACGACCAGACGATTGATTTGCTCGTCACCATCATGTACACCGGCTTTGAGGCCGTCTCCTCCACGGTGACGATGGTGGTCAAGTATCTCCACGACCACCCATCCGCCCTCCAAGAACTTCGGGTAAAATCTCTAATCCTCTTCTTCAACGACCAACTTAATGACCTCTCTCTCTCGCTCTCTCTCTCTTTCTCACTCTTTGTGTAGAACGAGTATTCGGAGATCGGACGGCGGAAATCGTCGCCGGATGAGGCGTTGACCTGGGAGGACTACACGTCCATGAGCTTCACTCGTGCGGTTAGCAAGCACCTTCCTCCTCCTCCTCCACCATGTTCTTCCTCCTCAGAAACCCTAATCCGCGTGGGCGGCTGAAGGTGATCCTGGAGACGATGCGGTTGGCCACCATAGTCAACGGGGTTATGAGGAAGACGACCAAGGACATCCCCATCAATGGTGAGTCCCGAATTAGGGTTCCCCCCCTCCGCTAATCAGAGAGGAGGGACATCTGACGAACGGCCCGGACTGACTCTTCGTAGGGTTCGTCATCCCCAAGGGGTGGAGAATCCTGGTCTACGTCAGAGAGAGCAACTACGACTCCCTGAGGTACCCGATGTCGCTCTGCTTCGACCCCTGGAGATGGAAGGTGACTCCCCCTCTCTCTCTCTCTCTCTCTCTCTCTCTCTCTCTCCCTCTCTCTCTCTACTGAACCCTGCTGTGGCCCCCCTCCAGGACAGGAGCCTGGAGAATCACCCATACTTCATGGCATTCGGCTGCGGGGGGAGGCTCTGCCTGGGGAAGGAGCTGGCCATGGTTGAGACATCCCTGTTCCTTTACTACTTCTTGACCAGATATAGGTAAAGAAAGGGCTACTCTTCCTGCTCTCTCTCTCTCCCCTTCCACAGTGAGAAGTAAGCTCTGAAATGGCAGGTGGGAGGAGACCGGAGGGGACGAAATAGTCCTGTTTCCAAGAGTAGAAGCCCCCCGAGGCCTCCACATCCGGCTCTGGACCAACTGAACCTACCCACGTAGATAAACCCGGGAGACTCCACCTGGAGCTGAAGAAGATGACGGCGGGGCGGCGGGAGGCGCCACCAGAGCTGCCGCCGGCGACCCCCCTAAACGGGAAACCCAGAGACGGAAAGGATCATTATCTACCCATAGAAGTAAGGTGAGGACGTAAGCTGTAGTCCTACAAGAAATCGGGAGGCTTCTTTCTATCTGTATCCGTCATCGGACGATGTTTTACGTTTCTATGTTTCCTTCTACACTCAAGTTGAACCGGCCCAACGTGTAGCGGCCTATTCGAACCTTTAAAAGGTATCTGATTAGAACTCGGCCGAACGATTCGAAGAAAAGAAGATCCCCGAACCCTCTCTTCGACCAGCGCCGTCTCTTCTCCGCAAAATGACATCGTAGCAGTGTAATAAAGCTTCTGGCTGTGTCTCCACAAGTCTGATTGCTCCTTGCTAGCAGGCCTTCTAATTTTATGTCATAATCTATGAAGACTCCGTCCGAAGCATCTCTCTCCATCGTTTTCGATTCTGACATGTTCACGATTTTATTCCATCGCTGCTTGAGCTACTATTCCGTAGACATTTGATCCTTTATCTTGTTGTCTGGTTGTTATCTAGTCATCGCCCTTGCGGAATGACCCTTTCTTCTGTCTGAAAAACGTACAAGACTTCTCTTAGTCAGATTTCTGGCACAGACATCAGAGTCTTTCCCATGTCTGGTGCGGTAATATTTTATTTGAACATTTCCACCCTACGGTAGAATATTCCGACGTCAGAGCTCACTCCTATCTCAACGTGTCAGCGGGTCGGAGGGGACAATGAACTTAATGCAGTCATAGAGCTACCTAATGTCACACAAATAGAAAAATTAGATGGGAACAGCTGCTTTGATTGGGATTAATACATTAACTTAGAATTGAAAAAAAGAGGAATGCTTGACCACACTGATCATAGGGTCCTAACCAGTACATCATGTGTTTACAACACGGGATCGATTAGATTCTTGGATCATTAGATGGTTGTTGGGTAGAATGGTCACCGAAATTAGGACTTGCCTGCATCTCGCATCATCAAAGGATACCCGGGAGAGTCTTCACAAGACCGACTCAAGAACAATGGATGGATAACTAATATTTGGATTATGAATGAGGATTGTCAACATGAGACAAGGAAATAAATCCATAACAGAATATGATCAGTATAAGAAAGTGAAATGAGAGACCATGTGGATGCGACTGTCTATTGAGATTCAATAGCGAGAGAGAAGAGAGAGAGAGAGAAGAAATTATTTTTTTGTGTGATTGACCTGAATATGATTAGATATGATCTCAAATCCTTGGTGAACAACTCCCATCCTTTACTAGGGTAATTTCATAAGTCAAATGAGAAGAGAATTGTCGTTGGGTAGTATTTAATGAGTCACAAAACTTAGTAAATCACACATTTGTAACAAAAGGAAATCATCTACTCCGATTACTAGGCAAGAACAAAGGTAATGCATCAATATATTCAAAAAATCGGAATGAAGGTCAAGATTCTAGAGGCAATTATGATGCGCATATTTTAAGAAGCCGCACCATATTAAGGGGATCTTAAAAGGTTGGAAACAAAGGGGAAATATCAAAAGCAGGTGGACTAGCTCATCACATTGTTCTAGAGTTAGGAGAATCATCAGGACTCAAACAAAGTCAACATGATCAGGCACAGAGGGAATATGGACAGACAACATTTGCTTTATGTTCCCTAGCATGCTCCAAGTCGTGAAAAGTTTTTCCAATGAAATATTTTCGACATATTCTCTTTGTTCTAGTAATAAGAAGATAGCTACAGTTGATGCTTCTCTAATCATGGCGGCTGAGATAGGAAACATTGATGTTACTCAATTTACTACCTTAAATGATGTACTCCATGTCCCTGTGTTAATTTTAGTTTTAATTTTTATACATAAACTAGTTTTAGATTTAGAATGCTCTACTTTATTTCATAATGACACATTTATTTTCAGATAAGAAATTTTGGTAGATGATTGAACTTACTAAGAAGTGAATCAGGTCCAATTATCTATACATGCCAAGTCGATCAAATGCTATTGATAGGAGGAAAAATACTTTCAGTGGACAGCTAGATACTGATGAGGGAAGATATTATTCTTCATCTGTATTAGAGAGCATTTGGCTCCAACATTGTATACAAGGTCGTCCATCCTTTGAAACAATCAGAAATTTGTTTCCATCTTTGTTTCAACACTTGGATATCCCTAACTTATATTGTGATCTGTGTCAACTTGAGAAGTATCAACGACCATCTTTTCCTAAAAATAGAATTTAATACTCTATTTTCATATATACATTGATATTTGAGGTCCTTCACCCACTGTGCTAGATGATCCGTGACCTGCATAAATGAAAACACATGACCTACATTCACCTATCTACTTAGAAATTAGAAGTTTGTATTATAGTCTCACAATTTCACTCTTCATTAAAAACCAATGTGATATCAATATTAAACAATGTAGATTAGACAATGTCAGAGAATTTTTTAAAAAAATTGACTACCTTTTTTCAAAAGGAGGGCGTCATACATGGTTTCATTTTGTTAATGCCCCACAACAAAATGGGCAGCTAAAAGGAATAATGGTCATATACTAGAAGTCACTATATTGCACTTGATTCAAAATCATATACTTGATTACTTTGAGACACGAAGTACTTTTAGAAATAATTTTATTAATCATCTATCATCTCAGGGACTAAAATCAAATGTCTAATTGACATGCTATCCTCCTTTTATCCAAATATTTATTTAAAAATAAATCTTTAACATAGAGTTGTTGGGTGTGTTTCCTTTTTTCATGTTTATAAACATTAGAGGGGTAAATTAAATCCTAAGACATTGAAATGTATATTCATTGATTACTCACAAACACAAAGGGAGTATAAATCCTACCACCCTCCATCCAAAAAAATCTTTATTTATGTAGATGTAACTTTCCATGAAAATGAATCGTATTATTAAAGTTCAAGTGTTCAAAGCAATAGTCAAATAGTTCAAAATCTTAAGGAGAATTCTTCATCTTCAAACTTATCCATATCTCTACTATGGCTTAGCACATCATTACATAACACATGATCTCTATCTCATTTTCATTCTCATTCTCATCTTAATGATATTTATCCCAATTCTCCTGAACTCATGTATATCAAAGAAGTACATTCAGATATCAATGCCAAAGTTTCAATTGAGTCAATTCTTCTTAAATATGATAACAACAATAATCCATCTATAGATGACAATAATAATTTATGTATTATTATTGGGAAAAGAACACAAGATTGTAGTAGTATTTTATAAAAGACCTTGTTGCCCTATTGCCCAGTCTTATCCTATGACCGTCAGTCACCCTCTCATAGACCCTCTATTGCCAACTTATATGAGATTAGTACCCTTTCTTCTATTTCTAAAACAGTCTCTACTAAACAATATGCTATGAATGAAAAACGTGAGGCCTTGGACAAAAAGAAGATTTGGGAGCTAGTGACACTAGTAATAAGGAAAAACTTCTTTGTTTCAAACAGGTTTATATAGCAAAATATAGAGTTCATGGAAGTATAGAATGATACAAGGCTCGTCTTGGCATAAAGAGATATATGCAAGCCTAAAGATTTGATTATTTAGAAGCTTTGACACATGAGGCAAAAATAACCCCCTCAAGGTTTTTCTGTTACTAATTGTTAATTATAACTAAGGACAATAACAATATGATCTGGGAAATCTCTTTTTGCATAGAGAAAAAAAATAAAGAAAATTATATAGAAGTCTCATCAAGATATAGAACTAAATTATCTGCAAATATAGTCCATAAATTGAATAAATCCTACAATGGAATAACAAAATCACCTCAGACCCAGTTTAGGCAATTTTAAAAAGTTTTGTATGTACCAAAATACAAACAAAGTCAAGTGGATTATACCTTGTTAATTAAACATACATCTTCAAGGGGTGTTAGTTAATGTAGATGTCATCATCATGACTGCAAAATGGTGCAAACGAAAAAGAGTAATTAAATAACAGTTTAAAAATATAATTTAAAATAAAAAAACTAGAAAAGAAGTATTTTCATAGAATTAAAATAGCCCACTTAAGAAAAAAAACTTTATTTCTCAACACCTATGTTATGTACCTTTTGAAGGAGATATTCATGATAGCTTGTCAACTAGAAAATACTCTCTTAAATGCCAACAAAAAGTTATAAAATATAATTAAACAGTTGGCTAGACGGTTAATCTATCTTTCACACAAATGACTCACACCCTATATAGTAAGTGTAATTAATCAATTTATGTATTACCCCAAAAAAAAACCCCTAGATTCAATCTATCAAATATGGGAAAGGATGTATTCTCGAAACAAAATGGAGACTTAAAAGTTAAAATCTCGTCACATGAGAAACTAGAATATAAAGTGTTGTATGAAGACACAATTCAAAGTGATAAATCCAGACATGCAAATTACTATAGGTTAAGATCATATTAGAAGATCTAAAGGTCTGACTCTATATATCAATGAAGCTTCATTGTCACAGTAAATCTGACAGCATCATTAATCACAATCATATACATTAAGCACATTAAGATCAGCATACACTTTGTAACAAAAAGTTAAAGGCTGGAAAAATATGTGCACCTTTTGTGGCCTTGAACAATCAGGATACTGATATGTACTCACAAAAAGCTAACCCCACTACACATTTCAACATTTAATCTCCCAACAGGTAGTGGATCATATCCATTCACAACTTGAAGAGTATCTTCTATATTTCCTTTATACTGAACAACCCTATCCAAAACCTATAAAGGGATCTATAGCTAAAACCAAACCAAAGAAGCCCTCTCTCATCCGCCAATGACCTTTTCACTGAAGGATAATTTCCATTAACCATCCACCCGTGAAGTTGGCCGAACATCTGTGGCCGTCCATCAGAGACCAACCTGTCATGGTCAAACAGGCCCTTACTGCATTTGATCAGGATATCCATAGCTGCCCATTTGTAGCTAGAGAGGGAGAGAGAGAGAGAGAGAGAGACAGAGAGAGAGAGAGAGTACTATCTGCAAGGAGTTGGGCACGCCATCTTGGATCGAAGGTAAATTCTCAATTCACAGCCATCGCCGACTACTGCAAACACGTCAGATTTCTCATCGGCCACGAAACAAGAGTTGCCTCCCCCATTGATCACACGGAAAGAGTATAAAAAAGGAAATATGTCTAAACACAATTTACAGTATGCTTTTATTAGTAATGAACAAGAAAATATGATATTTATTAATTAATGCAGAAATTCTAAAAAATTATGGCACAAAAAAAGAAGACCCAGGAAGAAACAAATATTTTCGCAGAAATTTTAGATCAAGTAGAATGGTCAAGCAGCTCAAGAACCAGATAGGAGCCCACGAGATAACCACCCCACAATGTAAATGGGTGAAGATCTGCTAGCTTCGTTCCAGTGGTCAAATCCCACATGTACACATGGCCATCGCTCATTCCAGCAATCCCTAGGTCAGATAATGCTCCGAAAAAGATACCCTATAAATATAAAAAAACAATGTTCTTCGATAAAAATGAAGGTAGAAAGATATAATAACCACATAGCATCGGAGTCTTTGAGGGGGAGAGGGGGAACTTCTTGGAAAAATACCCAGCATCTAACACTTTGCCAAGGAACAATCCCTCATTGACCAAGAGTGCGAGCCTTCACCCTGCTGAAGAGCCGTCCGATTCTTTCTCTAATTGGTGGCTGTGAACGAGGAACCAAATAGCAGCACATTCCCTAGTCGGAGCGGCACTAGTCTTACTGACTTCCACATTGGTCAACCACCCCACAGGGAGAACCTGGGAAACCACATCCCCCAGAGTAGAAAGTTTGGGCAGCTTGATCCTCTTGGAAACGTCCCTAAAAGGGAAAAGAGAGTGCTTTCGAATGAGCAAAGAAAAGGAGACAAAAGATATATGGGGACCCAAATATCAAAAAACTGGAACAAATGAAAAGGAAAGGAAGTAAAAGCAGGTGTTAAGTTGATTCCAGGGCCTGGATAATGCAGCAGTCCTAAATAAGGAAGGTTGACCGTGTGATGTGCTAGTTCAAGAAATCAGGCCCCTTATTTCACCTTCCCCAAATGGGTACGATACGAGAAATTACTGAAAGAAAGTAGATGAGATATGCTGCAAGGAAGCACTTACCACAAGCAGAACCCTCCAGCACCATCATGGCCGACGATGATCGAGGCACATTTTGGTATCTGTTTCAGCTCTATCGCTGAAGGTTCCATGGAATCAAAGCCAGGTAGGATGAATTCTTCCTAACTTGATCTGAACAGGTGCAAGATCACAATAAGTGGCACAACTCTTAGCTGTAGAGAAAAGGTAATACGAACCTATGCATGCCATTTCAATAAACTTCTAATTTTCTGCAAATATCCTGGCATGAAACTTCCCTTGCAATATATATTTATCTATATGGAATTTTGGAGTTACTAGCAAGTACGAGCGGTGTTTTCATGAAACTCATAGAAAAAAATCATGTTCAGGAGCAGGTCAGGAGAGCCCGCCAACAAATGGAATATATTTTTTGCTTGGATTGGGCAGATACAATCTCTTAAACTATCCAACGAATCGTCTCTAAAATGAAAATCATTTAGCTTTTTATTCTTCTGACATGCTGTCATGAGAAAATTAGTGAAGCACTGGGACACACACACAAAGTCAACGAGTGCAAGATTGTTACCCGTACAATACATGAAACTGTAAGAATGCACACGATGCCCAATCTGGGGATCATACCAATAGTAAGAAAGACCTGTTATGGCTAGCTTTGACATGACAGGCTAAAAGTCAAAATTCATTCCTCATAGCAACCAAGATCTGATGGTAAGCTATGACGAATACTAAGAGATGGAAAGATAGCTCCAAAAAGAGAGACGACATCTCCAAATTATTACCTCCACGACGGGTTCATTAGCCATACAAGCAGACTCCCACTTTCTTCAACTGCTAGAAGATGATTACTTTCACAAACTAATATGCAATAAATGTTCTGAACTGTTTTCAACTTGCTCACTGTAGACACATAACTAAGCTCCAACTGAACGATGTTTATAGCGTTATTCTCACCGCAGTGCAACTTGCAGATAGAGCAACGACATCTGAATTTTTTCTCCCTAAAAGTTCATAATTAAAATTAGTTATTGACATATGGCACAGCTGCACTCCCTATGATGATCAAGATGGTAAATGACCTGCAGGAAGGTGCCTTGATACCATTAGAAAAAACAAGGTACTTGCCATCAGGAGTAAATTGTAGGCCACATCTTTCGATTGGAATCTGGTAAGACGGCGATAAGTTGTACATAAAAATACTAAAAATGAGATGTATATTATGAAGAAAGCACCAATGAAAGGCTCCAAGATCAACAATGAGATAGCGTACGCTTTGATGATGGCCATTTTCTCGGATAGGAAACATAATTGATGTGTATCCAAGAAAAGATGGGAAGTTTATCTCTTTTTTCATGAGAATCTGGTAGACAAAAATGACCCCTTCAGCTCCTTCGGATGGGCCACACAAGGTGCAAACGTGTAATGTTCCCTCCTTGACATTCAGCAATATAGACCAAATATAGTGTGGATGCAGATAACAACCAATAAGCTCTACAAAGTCTTCAAGCTGCTCGTCAGGTTTCATACTTACAGAAGAAGAACCAAACAATGGCTGAGCCTCAGAAAGATCCAGATAAGAAAAATCACTTGGATGGTCACTAGCAACGTACTCTATAGGCAATTCCTGACCAGAGCAAGACAAGTCACTGGGATTACTTTCATCAAATGCCTGCTTTCCTGAGACTTGAAGAACTGGGATTTGTTCATGACAATCCCCAGCTGCAGCATTGTTGTCACTACAAGGATTCGTGTCATTAGTCTTGACGTTTGTATGAATGAACTTTAAGTCATTCGCAGCATCTGATAAATGCCCTAGGGCTTCCCGATTTTGAGGTGCAGGGGTGATAGCATTAAATACCAGGCCAATCGATTCACAGATGTTATCTGATATCTTCAAACGTTCTTCACTAATCAACGACGCTTTTTCGTCTATCCCTCTGCTATCAATTTCAAGCTGCCTATTTGCTGCCGACTTCACACATTTAGCAGCATAAGCTTCCATAATTTTTCCATCATTCATGTCCCTACAAATTATACTCTCTGAAAAGGGAACCTTATATTTATTAGAAGCTTGAAGGGCAAATGCTTGTTCCCGTGTCATTTCCTTGACAATGTTTATATACCACCTGATGCTAGACCATTTGCAGTTTCAGTTAAAGAGCAAGAATCTTCTTCAATACACCCGGCAATTGTCTTTCCATGAAAGGAAATATAGGTTGCATCTGTAGCATTCCTAATATCAGCTCCTCTTTCATCTATCCCTAGAGAACCATCAAAATTAGGATTGGCTTGCATGGAATTACTAGAATTGTCATAAGTCATTTGTGATATCTTATCGGTGATTGGAATATGTACAGTGTTTCCAACCATACAGGCAACAAATGGGTTTTGATCCCGAGAGGGTCGATTGAGAATCATAGAGAGACAGCTAGATTGACTGATTCTGAGGAAAAGGCTGATTAATGTTGAAAAGAGAATTCATTTCTTTGATTTCTAACTGTATGCTTATTTTTCAAAGGCACAAAAAATATCTCAACAAAATATCTCAAATTTGGTGCTTTTACAGGATCATTGTTTACTGTACCCCCCAAGCTCCTATAGAATCCTAGCTCCATTCTCAACCAAGAACGTAGACAGGTGAAAGGGGACAACACAATGGTACTTTCACTCTGTTGCTTCTATTTTCCCTTCTTAAATGCTCAGATATGATTGTGACATAGATTCATTAAAATGAAATTGACTAAGTTTGTTCTACCAAATCATTTTTAAAAATTACCCATTGAAAATTGAATTAGTGCCCTCAATGGAGATTCACCTCAGCTGCTCTAGATGTTGATTTTGTCAGAATTCAAGAAAGGAACTAGAAGAAATAGAAACACAAACCTCTGCAATATTCAGCTTTCCTTTTTCTAATAGCACCAATGTCCAGCTGTGAATGGTATAGAATTTCTTCAACATTCCCAGATATGACTTCAGGTTCTAAAGGAGGAAAATTATGATGGACGATGTCACAAGTCTCCAAGGCAGCTGTACCTTCAAATGTACACACAGCAAAACAATGGGTGGATTGGAAAATATCTTCTTTCTTGTCTACACAAGTATCATGATATGATTTCACTACTAACCTACAAAAGGTGTAAGAAAGGAGCACACGTGTGGCATGTGAGTGGGACTATAAGTACAACATGAGAAGATGGGGTTTATGGCGAAACAAAGTTGGTATTCTAAAGAGGCAGGGGAACCCTCTCAAACATTGTTTCTCACTTTACTCTTCTTTACCCTTTTCATCTTTGTATCCAAGAAGGTCGTCCTCCCTGTTGTTTTGTCTCTCGCCACTAATGAGGGTTCATGAGTTCAATACGATGTGTTACATCCTTTCTATTTGCCCAGATTTGATCCTACCATTGAGGATTGTATCATTAGTATCAAAGTTGTGATCTTGCAACGACAAGCACTATGGTGTCAAAGATATCAGATGCACATTTTGAAGCCCTAAAAGCAGACAACAAGAACCTTCGAGCAGATCAAAGAAGGATGATCAAAGACATATAGAAAACAAGGGAGGAATCCACGGATTTGATGTATCAACTCCAACAGAAGATGCATTAATTCCGGATGACAGTATGCATGAGATTGGAGGCTCTAGAGAAAAAGGAACAGCTTAATCTGCAACCGACATCAAGCTATCAGCCAGCACAATCAAAATCACGACACAAGAAACCACCTCTTCACCCTTACCAATAATATATTCTGAATGAAGCTACAGCTAGTCAAATAGTCATACTATACACTGAAAGAGGGAAAATACTAGTGTTTAGGGAGAAAAATCCTAAACACTAGTTAAGATGTGTTGAGAGGTTCTTTAGGCTAAATAAAGTGTAAGAACAAGACCAACTAGAAATGGCATTAAGCTTGAAGGCTTGGCACTAGAATGATACTTATGGAAAGACGAAAGGTATCCTTTTTCCAATTGGCAGAACTTTTGAATACAATTGGGAAAATACTTTGGAATGGTAGTAGAGGGAAACATATTCCACAAATTCTTGAATCTCCAACAAGATCAATCAGTCCAAGAATACTAGGGTGAGTATAAGCATCTTTCTATGTATCTACCAAAACTCCAAGATATGGTTATGGAGAACTAGACCTAAAATCAGAGATTCAAGTAGAGTTGGCTCACATGGGCCCAATGGGACTGATAGAAATTATGGATGCATCAATAGAAGTAGAACAACACATTCATACTCTTTAGGAAGCCTGGGATAATCATTTACCAAAATCTTCCCACCAAGGTAATGTTACTTCCAATAAGTTTGTTGATAACCATTTACCTACATTATATAGTGAACAGGAGAAGACTAAGCACCCAACCACCCACATAGAATGGCAGTCCAATAGGTAGTGCAAGTGGTGAGGGACAATAGGTACCAGAAACATATCACATTCACTAATGCAGAGTACTAGAGCCGCTGTGAAAAAGGACTTTGCTATCACAGTGAGGAAAAATTCAGCCCAAGACACTGTTGTAAAAAACAAGTACAAATTTAGATTGTTCACAAAGATGACCAAGGGACTTTTGAGGATATAATGTAGGATTCTAGAGATGAAGAGTCTTAACCAGTAGAAGGAGCGTTGTTCACAGCACAAGTCTCCCTAAATTCAGTAGTGGGACTCACACAAGCAAAAACCATGAAGATGGAAAGGACATTGCAAGGACAAGTGATCACCACCCTAATTGACTTAGGTGCGACACATAATTTCATATGCACAAAGTTATGTGCACACCTCAAGGTACCTTACACAAAAGCCATGAATTATGAAATCTTTATTGAGAATGGAGAGGCCTCTAGGGTAACAAAATTCGCAAGGGTATTTTTCATACAAGTCCAAGGCTTAGACATCATTGAAGACTTCCTACCACTCACATTAGGGAGCACAGATGCGATATTAGGAATGCAATGGCTCAGCTCAATGAGATGGATGCATGTGAATTGGGGGAATTAACCATGAAGTTTATGGTAAATGGCATGGTGAAAGTCTTCAAAGGAGATCTGAAACTGTCAAATCAAAACTCTCCCTAAAGATATTGTAGAAAATCATCAGCAGACAGCCTCTAATCCTCTCGGAGTTACATTAGGTGCAACTACAACCCTAATTAGTGAGTACTAAGACCACCAGAATTGAATCTAAATTCAAATAATTATTTTCATTTGTGTTTTCTCCAATAATTAGATTACTACTAGAGCATGAGGTGGATTATTCCATCAACATTATTTTTGGTATTAGACCGGTGAACCTATGTCCATATTTGTATTCCTACTTCTAAAAGGATGAAATTGAGAAGTTGGTACAAGAGTTCCTAGCAGCAAGATTTATTCAACCCTCACGAAGCCTTTATGTAAGCCCTATCCTATTAGTGAAGAAAAAAGATTGGGGATGGTGATTATATGTGGAGTATAGTGCCCTAAACAAGGTAACAATCCCCAATAGATACCCTATACCTATTGTGGATGAGCTGCAAGGTATAAGTATTTTCTCTAAGCTAAATTTAAAGTAGAGATATTATCAAATTTGCATGAAGGCCTTAGACATCTAAAAGACTGCCTTTAAAACCCACAATGGGCATCATGAATTTATCATCATGCCTTTCGATCTCTCCAATGCACTGGCTACTTTCCAATCACTTATGAACAAGTTGTTCCGGCCTTTTCTAAAAAAATTTGTACTCGTACTTTTTTATAACCTCTTAGTATATAGTCAAAATCCACAAGATCACAAAGAACATTTGATATAGATCTTTATTGTCCTATCCAAGAATAACCTCCATATCAATGTGAACAAGTGCAAATTTTCCCAACTTTGTATTAAATATCTAGGCTACTGGATTTCTACTAAAGGTGTGGCAACAAACAAAGGAAAGATCTCAACCATGATCAATTTGCTGCTATGAAAGAATATTAGAGAGTTAAGGAGATTTTTGGGCCTCAAAAGATATTACAAGAAATTTGTGGCCAACTATGCCTCGATCACCTGGCCCCTAACCCACTTACTCAAGAAAAACTCGTACACATGGAATCCATCCTCTCAAAGCTGCATTCCTCCAGCTCAAAGAGGCAATGACTTCTACAACTATTCTAGTTTTACTAGATTTTTCATGACCTTTTATTCATGAAATAGATGCATCAGGCCATATAGTAGGTGCGGTACTAATGTAGACAAAAAGACCAGTGGCTTTCCATAGTAAAGTTCTTCCATATAAACATCAACTCAAATCAGCTTACGAAAGAAAACATCACCATTGTCAAAGTAGTACACAAATGACAATACTATTTAATTCACATGCCTTTCATCATATAGACAGACCAATATATTCTGAAATATCTTATTGAACAGCAGTATGTCCATCCCAAATATCACAAATAACTCATTAAATTATTGAGATTTAATTTTATTATCAAGTATAAAGAGGGACAACTTAATATTGTGGTTGATGCCTTATCCTAAGCACCTAACATGGTGAACCTAGAGATGACTTCAATCTCCCAACCCCATCTATTGGATCTAGTGATCGTCCAAAAAAAAGTCTCATGAGATACTGCACACTATCCTATTGTGAAATTATTGAACAAAGGATCAGAAGACCCCATTTCTCTCTATACTATGATGTATTGCTATACAAAAATAGGTTGATATTACCATCTAATTCATCCTTAATATCAATATTACTAAAAGAAGCCTATGATTCACTAAAAGGAGGATATGAATGTTTTTTGTGCACATATAAGAGACTCACTCAAATCATCTTTTGAAAGAACGTTGACAAGTCTTTATTATCATGAGTTAATAATTAATAAATAATATAGTTTTAGCCTTAACTCATGATAAATAGACTTATATTAGTGTTAATTTGTGAAATTATCATGAAATTATTGTGGTTTTTAGCTAGTTAATGTGATTTTTTGACTAATTATGTAATTTTATATGAATTTATATGATTTTATAATCATATTTGTGAGATAAATAAAGAAAAAAAAGAAAATAAGACATAAAAGGACCATTCAAGAACATATGAAGAACTACATGATAACTCTTTAGATTATTATTACCACAAGTAGATTAAATTCAATAATAGAGCATAAAGTATGCATGAAAATGACACAAATATATTAATACTTATATGCAATACAATGTTAAGTGATCAATGGTTGCCCTCTATTTTTATACTTAAAAAGTCTAGTATGAATTTAATTTCATAATTCTTTCTTGAACACTTAGATACTTGGTTGTTAATACCCATGGTTGTAGGGGCAAATGTGGAAAGTAGAAATGAATGAATATATTAAGGAAAGGAGGGTGTGACATTTGGGGGCATGTTTGATTTCATTCCCCTTTCAACTCTAGGTGCAATTCTTGTCTTGAGCTGGCCATCTCATCCTTGTCCCTTTTTGGTGCCATTTGCAACCTAGATAGACCTCCTTCATCCCCTCCCCCTTCTCACTGGCAAGTGACAATGCCGATGGATTTGAGTTGAAAGTTGCTCATGGTGCTCACATGGGAAGCCCTGGAGCAACCAAGCCATGAAGACCACCCTTTCCTAGCGCAGCAGACCAAGGTCCATCAAGTTCTCCACCTATGTGTGGCATCGTTCCTCCCCATAGATATCAATTTAAGGAGTAGCTAGAAGTTTAGCTAGAAGTTTATTTCTATTTTCATTCTACTTCTTGCACGGTAAGAGAACTTTGATTTCAGTTTAATATAATTTTCATTTTTGTGAGCCCTATCCTCTTTTCAATTCAGAGAGTTGATTCTATCAATTCACTGAAGGATATGATTTAATTTGTGGCTTTTATGATTCATGAAGATCATCGGGAAATAGAAATCAGCATTGGCTGAATTTATCTCCCTTGATGAAGCATATAGTGAGCATCACCACTAGAATTAATGAAGTACTAGTGTGGATGTCGTGATTTCAAATCCTCCTTGAGTTCAACATAGTTTTCCACTAATCTTCCAAAAAAAACCTAACCTCTGAAAATCAATTTATAAATGTAAGGTTGATGATCTTAGTAACAACGATTCTTGATCAACCAATTTTTGGTGCCATTGTTAGTAAGGATTTTTTTAAAATTATGAATTTACATCAGTGAAGATTAATTTCAAATTTTTAAATTGAGTTGAATTTTGTTGCTCTTTGTTAGTCTTTCAAAAAATAATAATGACAATAATAATAATAATAGTAATCATAATATAGAATTGTGCACAATACTACATTTCAGCACAACATTAAATTCTCACTTTCATTTGTGTATTTCTGATTTCTAAGCACTGTCTTTTACTAAATTAAAATAGCATGTAACAAGTTAATTTTTGCCAAATTTTTTATTCAACGTGTTATCTTTCTCTAGTATTTTCATACAAATTCTATAGTTTACTGATTATTCGAAAATATGGATGGGAGAAGAAGCCTTAAATAGGCTGTTGAAGCAACTGAAGGAGAGAGAATAGAGCTCTAGGGGGAAAAATGAACTAGAGTCTCACCCCACCAACTTAGGGAACCAAGATATGCCACAAAATTTAGAAAATCCTTACACCTATAGACTTATGCGACCATTCTACACCAAATTTTTATCAACCATCACAAATTAGAATACAATTAGCACATGATGTGCAATTTGATATCAAGCATGGCATGATTTAGATGCTTCCCACATTCCATGGCTTACCAAATGAAGAGCCACATCAACACATAGTAAAATTCTTATCTAAATGTGATCTAGTGTAATTTTCTAATATCCCACAGGAGGCTTTTCAAATGAAGCTGTTTCCTTTTTCCTTATATGATAAAGCTTGAGATTGGTTGATCTCCTTAAATTAGAGTTGGCTTCTTAGCAGGAGATTGAGCAAGTCTTTCTACGTAAATTTTATCTTGTAGGAAAAACACATGCCATGAGGAAACTAAGCTTCAATTTTATGCAAAAAACTAGGGGAAACCTTTCATGAAGCATGGGAAAGGTTTAAAGACCTGTTGAAGAAATACCCTCATCATGGAATAGCTAAATGGCAAATTAATCAAGTTTTTTATGATGGAATTTTAGAATAAAATAAAAATTTAGTAGATGCAACTTGTGGTGAGGCATTTATGAGCAAGGTTGAAGAAGAGATGTATCAATTGTATGAAACATAGTGAAAATTCTCCTAATATGGAATCATTTGCCCTTTATGATCATAGCATAGAAGAATAGAGGAGAGGGGTTCATGAAGTTAGAAACTCTGAGGAAAGGGAGTGGAGAGCAGAGGTGAATAAAGTTCACTAAAAGATTGATCAATTGTGTGATTGTCTTTTCCATCATTCTGAGTAAAATCAGCTTGTAGGTGGTTTGGAAGGATTGCAACACCAAACCCCATTCACAAGGTGTATGGTGTGTGACAATAATGATCATTATGATCATTAGTGCCCACAATTACATTCAGCGGATATGGGTACACTAGAGCAAGTTAATGCTGCTCAAGAATATAGTTGGAGAACTCATCCAAACTTATCTTGGAAAACCCAAACAATTGCTTGAACACACTAGCTGCATTTGTAAATTTTTCCTCATCCCAACCAGTAGCTGCACCTCCCTATTATCTGACAAGTTAGAAGCATCCATATTTGTATCGACCACCTCATAACTACTTAGATGGATTTAGGCCAACATTTCAATCATTAAGAAATGCCCAATTTAACCAACATTCCTGTTGGTCCAAATTTGAATCAACAAAGGATAAATATGGACCCATCATAGTCTGATTCATCTATTGTAATGCTGCAACAAATGATGAATTAGATGATGCAAACGATGCAACATCAACTTTAGGAAATAAACACTAGTTCAAACAAACTCAAATAAAAATGCACACAACCTATTGCAAATGTGGCAGAAAATTGGTCAGGTACAACACCAGCATCAGCAAAATATACATAAATTAGAAAAAGAGATAGGAAAATTAACAATCGTTAACCCCTAGAAGAGAAGTAGGACAACAACCTAGCCAACCCATTAGTAATCCTCATAATCAATCAATTAATTTTGCAGGGCAGCAAGCTTCAACATCTCAACATTTTGAGAATATGGAAGCTGTGACCACTTTGAGGAATGGAAAAGTCCTCAAAGATTCATTTGAAGGGAGTGTTGACACCTATCCCATACTAAATCCTGAGGATGATTGCAACAGCCTATTCTCAAATGGGGAAGGGAAATTGGGACACTAAGGCCTAAGGGATCAATGGGCCTTGAGAAATCAGAAATAGCTGACCCAAAAGGGCAAGCTAAAGTGCTGCCATTTCTTAAAGCACTCAAGCTTGCTGTGCACTTATCATTGTGTTTAAATACACACTATCTAATAATATTTATAACTAAGACTTAATAAAATACTAGTGTAGAAATAAGTCTTAGGTTGAACACAAGGAAATTGACTAAATGGTTATGAAAACTAATTTAATTTATATATAAAGTGATTTAAATATTTTATTAATATTTAACAAAAATAATAAAATAGAAGGGTGAGGTGAGAAGAATAATGAAAGGAAAGCAGAGAAAAGGGAGGAAAAGAGAGAGAGAGAGTTCTCACGAGAGAGAGAAGGGATGAGATCTCTCGTGGAAGGGAGAGAAAGAGAGAGGAGGAGAGAGAGCTCTCACGAGAGAGAGAAGGGATGAGATCTCTCGTGGAAGGGAGAGAAAGAGAGAGGAGGAGAGAGAGCTCTCACGAGAAGAGAAAGGATGAAATTTCTTGTGAAAGGACGGGAAAGAGAGTGGAGGAGAGAAAGGGAGATCGATTGAGAGAGAGAAAGAGAAGGAGATCAATCGAGAGAAAGGGAGAGATCTCACGAGAGATGGAGAGAGAAGAGAGGTCTCACGAGAGAGGGAGAGAGAGAAATAAGATGAAAATAAAAAAAGTGAGAAATACGGTCAACCCATTTTCTCAAACGAATGTGTGCTTGAGGATTCACACATATGATATGAGGTCAGCTGTGAATGTTTCCTGCTTATTTTAACTATTGATTGCTTGTTAATCAGCCTTTAATCTTATTAATTTTGCATTCGAAAATAAAAAAATACTCATTATTCATGGAATGCCAAGAACATGAATACATTGAGATTTGACTACAAAAATCAATAGAAAATAAGTTGAAAACAATCTTAGCTTGATCTCAAACAAATCTTGGAGGATTCAAAAGAAGAATGAAGATCATTTATCAAGTTTTGAATTAGTTCTAAACATTTTATTCAAAATGTACATGAAAAGGAAAGAACTTGCCTTAAAATGTAAATAAATGACAAAAGTAGGTAAATAAATGTTAAAGTTAGTAAATAAATCATTGTCCAAGTTTAATCTACCTCTTGGGCAATTGGAGACACTAGTGTGGTGGTTTGATTTTGTCCGATCGTGCCACACCATGTCGGAAGTCATAGAAGTATTGTTCGAAAGCACTATGCTACTTGCTAGAGAGATCTACTGAACAAAGGTCGACAATGCTATCACCATTGTTTGGGGGGAGAAGGGAAGAGCTGACAACTCACTGAAGGTCTTGAGTGCAGTTAGGGGAGGAAGGGACAAGCTTGTTGATCATCGGAGATATTGATTGCACAAGAGGAGGGAAGAATGGATTCCATATTCCATATTCATGATTATCGTCGGAATTTTAAAGATAATCAATAATATCTATTTTACTAGACATTAATTAATTATTATCTTTATATCCCTAATGGTGATATGTGTGAAAACTTAAGTTCTAGTATACTGATGCTTTGCTAGCCACTAGATCAAATGAGCTTGGTCACCTGGTGCTCTGAGCAATGTACGATCAACCCGCTACAAATCACTATTCATCAAGAACTTAAGTTCTAGTACCATGACACCTCCATAGCCATCGGATCAGCCTTTAAGGCCATGTGTGCGTTGAGTAGTGTTGGATTTGCAAACTGCCAATGGATCCATTATGCATCTAGTGGTGGTTTGCCAACTACAAGATCAGGCTAATCAGATGATGTGGCTCTCTATGTACTACTAGATCACACTACACTCTAGATGACTGTATTGAAATAGATGAAAACATTTAGTCCCATATTAGAAATATTTCGAAACATATGTTGAATATAAACTATACCTACGGTCTCTAAATAGAGATCCCTTCTCTTGAAATAAAATAATGCCCAAGACCAGCTTGGGAGAAGGCAATCAGGTGGTCCACCCTCGTGCATGCATGTGTGTATAGGCACTCTTTGCCCCATGACTAGTTGGCCACTAGAATGTGGAAGGGGAGCAACACACATGCACAGAACAAGGCCTTCGCCACTTGAGCCTAGCTCATGGCTCCCTTGGTCTAGGTCTACCTGCTCGATTGTTGTCCCCCCCCCCCTCCAAGTTAGTTGTCAAGTGCTAGCTTGCCTATAAGTAGAAGAATTTTATTATTTTTTTATTTTAATAATAAAAAATTATGCTAAGTATTCTAACTTCAAACTTTTAAAATTAATAATATATCTCATATTTATTTTACAAGTTAAAAAAATAAAATGAAATAATAAAAATAATTAAAACACATAAATCTAGCTTTGATAGAGCCCAAATTGATAGTGAGAGTAGAATCTGATGAGGAGTTAATGAAAATATTTCAACAGGTTCAGATCACGATCCATTAATTTGATAAAAGTACTTGAGACATTCGTAAACCAAATGACATAACTAACTATTCATAAAGGCCTTCTCTATCCTTGAATGTTGTTTTTTCTTGTCTTGAGGTTTTATATGCACTTGATGATACCCACATTTAAGATTAATCTTATAAAAAATAGTTGTTCCAATCATCAAATCTAACATGTCATCAAGATGGGGAATGAAAAACTAGTATCTAATGGTAATCTTATTGATGACTCGGTTGTCTACGCACATCCTCCAACTGACATCCTTCTTGGGTGTTAATAATACTAACACAACACATGGACGAAGACTATCTCTAATAAATCTTTTCCTCAAAAAAGCTCCATAATAGGTCATTTTAATTCTTCATACTCAATATGATTAAGTTTATAACAAGGTAGGTTTGATAATGTTGCTCATGAAACTAAATCAATCACATATTATATATCATGCAAAGGAGGTAGTTGATCAAAAATCTTGCTAGAAATACATCTTTAAAATGAGTAAGTTTGTGGCATCTGTAGATACCTCTGATTGAGGTTTATTTTCAAAGTTCTAACTAAGACAATCCAAAATGATGACCATGATGTGATATCTCACTACAACATACGTGTGTTAATGAAGTTTAAATCCTTCACATCTAGTGACTCCCTAGAATCAGTGCGTGGAGATTGAAAAGGTTGAAAAATAATATTCTTTCCTTTGTAGATGAAAGAACTTGTGTTAAGTCTCTCATGTTGTGTGACATCCCTATCATATAGCCATAGACTTCCCAAATATGAGACTACCTACTTCCATGGGTAAAAACATCACACCAATTTTGATCTTTGTAAGAATTAATCTTGGGGGGTACAAGGCATCTTTTTTGAACTGAAATAAAAGATGAATCTACCCAAGATACCTTCTATAGATTAGGATGGTCAACTAGAATGAGCCCAAAATGTGAGAGTTTTAGTGGAAATTACATTGATACAACTGCAAGTATCTATAATAATCTTACAAACTTTTCCCCTAATTTTGACAAAAGTATGAGAAACAGAAGTCCTACGAATATCTTCCTCTATTTTTGATTGATCTAGTATGTGTCTCATAACCTCTATATGTTGACCAGTGAAGTGGTTGACTTGTCCTACAAGATGCTCATTCCCTTGAAATTTTTGAGCACGATCAATATCGCCATGATATTCTTGTTCTTCTAATAGATCAAATGTATCAGTTATATCTTCATATAGTATGGGGTTCATATCATATTCTTCTACATGAAGAGTACGAGTGGGACATTAATAAGCACAATGCCTAAATCCCTGACATCTATAACACTTATCTCAAAAAGTACTACCTAGTGGAGAGTATTTTATCACTCCCTTTATCTTCTCATTTTGGAGATGACTTAATCTTAGGACCCTGTGGTTGAGCTGTAATGGGTACATGTGCTGTAGAAAATTGAGAATTTTCAACTCAAGTGTTCACTTAGTTGTTTCTATTTGGAGCATTATGAGAAAGTGATTTTCTTGTAGGGTAGCTTGGGTTTTGTTGTAGTAAATTGAGGTTTATGGAACCCCATGAGCTAATTGATATGCTTGTTCTATTGTATCAATCGGACAAAGAGAGAACCCCCTTTGGATCTCTTCCCTTAACCCAGACCTAAACTTGGATAATGTCATTTTCTTTTCCTCTTTAACCCCACATCGCATGAGAAGTTCATCAAATTATGAGATATATTTAGATACTAGTCTATTACCTTGTGTTAACATGCCACCAATGATCTAGTAATTTGGATCTATATATAATAGGGAGGTATTTCTTTTTAGGTTTGTTCTTCATTTCAGTCCATTATCAATCAGTTAGTGTCTCCTCTTAAGAAATAATGATTCTACATTACTCCAATAATTTCTCACACATCCGATGAATTTCATTTGAGCAAATCGAACCTTTATTTCTTCACTTATTTTGTACCACTTAAAATAATAGTCCATATCAGCTTTCCCAATCAAGATATACCCTTGAGTCTAAAGATCCATAAAAATATGGGGCATCCACTCTTAAATTTTTATAAGTTGCTTCCCAAGGTTTGTATGGTTCTCATGGCACTTCATCATTCCTATCTCGTTTTGAAGGTATGCCATTTCTCTTTTCTTGGCACTCAATAGACAGTCGCATCCACATGGTCTCTCATTTCACTTTCTTATACTGATCATATTCTGTTATGGATTTATTTCCTTGTCTCATGTTGACAATCCTCATTCATAATCCAAATATTAGTTATCCATCCATTGTTCTTGAGTCGGTCTTGTGAAGACTCTCCCGGGTATCCTTTGCTGATGCGAGATGCACGCAAGCCCTAATTTCGGTGACCATTCTACCCAACAACCATCTAATGATCCAAGAATCTAATCGATCCCGTGTTGTAAACACATGATGTACTGGTTAGGACCCTATGATCAGTACGTGGTCAAGCATTCCTCTTTTTTTCAATTCTAAGTTAATATATTAATCCCAACCAAAGCAGCTGTTCCCATCTAATTTTTCTATTTGTGTGACATTAGGTAGCTCTATGACTGCATTAAGTTCATTGTCCCCTCCGACCCGCTGACACGTTGAGATAGGAGTGAGCTCTGACGTCGGAATATTCTACCGTAGGGTGGAAATGTTCAAATAAAATATTACCGCACCAGACATGGGAAAGACTCTGATGTCTGTGCCAGAAATCTGACTAAGAGAAGTCTTGTACGTTTTTCAGACAGAAGAAAGGGTCATTCCGCAAGGGCGATGACTAGATAACAACCAGACAACAAGATAAAGGATCAAATGTCTACGGAATAGTAGCTCAAGCAGCGATGGAATAAAATCGTGAACATGTCAGAATCGAAAACGATGGAGAGAGATGCTTCGGACGGAGTCTTCATAGATTATGACATAAAATTAGAAGGCCTGCTAGCAAGGAGCAATCAGACTTGTGGAGACACAGCCAGAAGCTTTATTACACTGCTACGATGTCATTTTGCGGAGAAGAGACGGCGCTGGTCGAAGAGAGGGTTCGGGGATCTTCTTTTCTTCGAATCGTTCGGCCGAGTTCTAATCAGATACCTTTTAAAGGTTCGAATAGGCCGCTACACGTTGGGCCGGTTCAACTTGAGTGTAGAAGGAAACATAGAAACGTAAAACATCGTCCGATGACGGATACAGATAGAAAGAAGCCTCCCGATTTCTTGTAGGACTACAGCTTACGTCCTCACCTTACTTCTATGGGTAGATAATGATCCTTTCCGTCTCTGGGTTTCCCGTTTAGGGGGGTCGCCGGCGGCAGCTCTGGTGGCGCCTCCCGCCGCCCCGCCGTCATCTTCTTCAGCTCCAGGTGGAGTCTCCCGGGTTTATCTACGTGGGTAGGTTCAGTTGGTCCAGAGCCGGATGTGGAGGCCTCGGGGGGCTTCTACTCTTGGAAACAGGACTATTTCGTCCCCTCCGGTCTCCTCCCACCTGCCATTTCAGAGCTTACTTCTCACTGTGGAAGGGGAGAGAGAGAGAGCAGGAAGAGTAGCCCTTTCTTTACCTATATCTGGTCAAGAAGTAGTAAAGGAACAGGGATGTCTCAACCATGGCCAGCTCCTTCCCCAGGCAGAGCCTCCCCCCGCAGCCGAATGCCATGAAGTATGGGTGATTCTCCAGGCTCCTGTCCTGGAGGGGGGCCACAGCAGGGTTCAGTAGAGAGAGAGAGGGAGAGAGAGAGAGAGAGAGAGAGAGAGAGAGAGAGGGGGAGTCACCTTCCATCTCCAGGGGTCGAAGCAGAGCGACATCGGGTACCTCAGGGAGTCGTAGTTGCTCTCTCTGACGTAGACCAGGATTCTCCACCCCTTGGGGATGACGAACCCTACGAAGAGTCAGTCCGGGCCGTTCGTCAGATGTCCCTCCTCTCTGATTAGCGGAGGGGGGGAACCCTAATTCGGGACTCACCATTGATGGGGATGTCCTTGGTCGTCTTCCTCATAACCCCGTTGACTATGGTGGCCAACCGCATCGTCTCCAGGATCACCTTCAGCCGCCCACGCGGATTAGGGTTTCTGAGGAGGAAGAACATGGTGGAGGAGGAGGAGGAAGGTGCTTGCTAACCGCACGAGTGAAGCTCATGGACGTGTAGTCCTCCCAGGTCAACGCCTCATCCGGCGACGATTTCCGCCGTCCGATCTCCGAATACTCGTTCTACACAAAGAGTGAGAAAGAGAGAGAGAGCGAGAGAGAGAGGTCATTAAGTTGGTCGTTGAAGAAGAGGATTAGAGATTTTACCCGAAGTTCTTGGAGGGCGGATGGGTGGTCGTGGAGATACTTGACCACCATCGTCACCGTGGAGGAGACGGCCTCAAAGCCGGTGTACATGATGGTGACGAGCAAATCAATCGTCTGGTCGTCGGTGAGCTTGGGCCTCGTCCGGTGGACCTCTTGCTCTTCTTGTCGTTCTTCCTCCCGGAGAAGGAAACTGAGTATATCACCGCCGCCCTTCGGGGCGGAAGGGCTCCTCCTCTCCTCAATCAGGTCCCTTAACAGGCTGGTGATCCTCTTCCTCGCCTGGAGAGTGAGGCCGTCAGAGTGGCCGGAGGAGGAGGAGGAGGAGGACGACGACGAGGACAGCGGCGGAGGGAGAAGGAGAGAGAGCTTGCCTGGAGTCCGCGGCGGTAGGCGGTGCCGGGGAGATTGACGGGGAGAGAGAGGGTCCCCCGAAGGAGCGTGAAGAACTCCGCCTTGAGCTCCGCCGCCGTTTCGCCGGTCTCAGTCCCGGAGATCAGCTTGAGCGTTGACGAGAGGAGCATCTGGAAACGAAAGACACGCCGCAGGTCAAAAATCTCGCCCCGAACGGCGGCGGAGGGATCCTGCTTAATCTCCAAACTGACCTCTCTGGCCTTCTCCTGGACGTCCAGAGTGGCGCCCCCGCCGCCCCAGCTGTGGAGGCGGGATCCGATGAACTCGTCTAACGTGGGGAAGAGCCGGTCTCTCACGGCGGCGGGGCCGATCACAGACATCAGCGCGCCCCTCACAACGCGATGGACGGGGCCGTGGACCGCCGAAACATTCCCCTCCCCGAGAATCACGGCCATGGCCCGCGGGTACCCCGGAACGAGCCCCTTGCCCTCGTTCATGAGGATCCACCTGTTGACTTCCAGATCCGTGGACACAACGGTGGGGCTGCCCAGCAGATGGGACGTGAACAAGCTCCCATACCTGCAAACATTTCCGATCACCGCCAGCCAGGTTTTGCTTGCTCTCGCCGCCGCAACGGCCATTATTTACAGAGGAGAGGAGATCCCTCACCTGGCTCTCTGCTTCTTCATGAAGTCGGGACCCCGCCGGAGAAACTCGATCGTCTCGCCGACGACCGGCCAGCCCATCGTCCCCGGAGGGAGGCCCCTCCGCCAGTGCCTCAGCTCATTCCACCTCATGAACAAGCTGCACAAGACACAGAGGAAACCCACCGCTACCCCCAGCGTCACAAGGTGTTCCATTGCCCCTTTGCGCTCTTACAACGCTTAGAAGAAGGAAGAGTGACTAATGCGGCGGCGGGAGGAGTGAGAGCAGCTCGAACGGGAGGGGGATATCTGTAGAAGAAAAGTTGAATTATAATTTTATAGAAGTTCTTATTTATGACTTATGATTCTTGACTACCAATCAGGATCAAGGTACTCGGTCAGCTTGGACTCGCAAGGGTTTTTGACATTAAGGGTCGTTTTGGCCCTTATGTTCTACGTGTGCAGACAACGTTATCTGCCCGTGATCTTGTGCACAGTAAAAGTCTATATTTGCCTGCGTAGAAGTCCATGTATCCCTACGAGAGAGAGACTATTAAAACTTTGGCGTGGTCATGGATATCAATCGAACTGTTGACTAGGGGCTTTGAAATTGACGGTAGTTTCGGCCCTTATGTTTTACGGTGCGTGATGAGAGACCAACCTTACCACATCTTCAGCCATGGTGGGCACTCGTGGTCCTCGCGCGTGCGCAGGCAGACGACATTATCTCCCTGTGATCCTGTGTACACTAAAAGTCTATATTTACATGCATGAAATTCTGTGTATCTGATGTGGGACAAGATAATGTTAGACTAATTTAACTTAGGACAAAAAACTATGCATGACTCTCACAAATGACTTAAGAGATCTAGAGGGATTGAATAAGCTCGGTCCGAGTATTCCCACAAGAATTGAAAAGGATTGGGTTGACACAATTAACGAATCGCTAGAGATTAGGGTGCTCCTACAGTCAATAAATTGAATTGTGCGGATCATGTGGGTTCTCTCTCTTACTATGTCCACCAACTATATATTCAGGGACCTATCTAGGATCACACCATGACAATATTGCAAAAGAATATACTAAAAAAAAAAATAACTCATAATGGAAAGATAAAGAGTTAAAAAATAACCCTGGTGCTGAAGTAAACGTCAGCTTGATGATGGATTGTGCATTGAAGCTAGACGTTGCTTGGCAGAGGGTTAACTGTCCTCGTCGTTGATCAATAGCTGCGGTTCAGTCCTGGAATTCACGTTACAGTGAACCGGGACTTAAGCTTAACCGGCGGGCGAGAATAAAGAAAGGAAAACATGACTGAGTTGTGCAGGGTGGAGGAAGCGAAGGGATGCGGGGAAGGATGGAATGGACAGAGGCGGAGGTTGGACTGATGGTGGTGATGACAAGAGGTGGGCTGCGGTCGGTGGAGAGGAAGATGTAGGCATTAGATGCAGAGATGATGATGATGACGTCGGATGGTGTTGGCGGAAGTTAGAAATGGTGAAAGTGAAACGGTGATAGTGTGGCGGAGAAAAGGAAGGTATAGCGGTGGTGATGATGATAGAGGAAAGTGTGGGCGAAGAAGGATGGATGTGGTGGTGCTGGATGGGTTCCTCACGGCATCTCCTTCACAGAACGAGCATACGCGACCTTCACGGTGGCCCCTTCACGGAGTGGTGATGCACGATTTTCACAGCCTCTCTTCACGTAGTAAAACAGACGAGTCTAAAAAATTCTTCTCTACCACGTACTAAGATCATGAGAGTTTATATAGGGTTCAAAAACAACACAAAAGACAACATTAATAATAACAAAAATGACTCCTAAATGTGCTCCAGCCGTTGTGCTGTTGACGTGGTCGCAAGCGCCATCTCCTGTGCTCCTCACCAACTCCGTCGAGTGTGCAGTGAACCCATCCTGATAAAGCTGGAGAAGATTGGGAGCAATTTGTCGTAGCTCCTCCTGTCAAATCCATGAATCATCTGATGGCAGATGTCCTTTCGTGCGTACAAGGAATCCCTGAAAGTTTCCTTTTCCATTATAGATAATTTCTTCATCCAGTATGTCGCCTATTTACTCAAAGTTCGCTCACAAAGGATGGACCAGGCTCAAATGGATCACTAGGAATAGTTGGTGGACCTTGATACACAACTAAATCAGAGATATTGAGAATAGAGCTAATTCCTCAATCAATTGGCAAGTCAATAACATATGTATTAATTCCAATCCGTTTCAAAATTGTGAAAGGTCCTGCATGTAATTCCGTAATAGTGCCCGACAGAATCTTCTTTAAGAAGTACAGGAAATGAGAATACAGGATAGCGTTATAATTTACTTATATTTATAGTGTCCATGAAATTTCACACTACAGAAATGAGAATAAAAGAAAGTTTTTAAACAGATTGGCACGTAACGGCCATTACAAATAGAAGGAACGGTAAAAGAACTGCTGCTGTTAAAGAAATAGCAACAGATGATGAAATGCTCTTTATGGAGAGCGTTATCACGCTGAAAGGAAGCACCATTAACAAATCTCCACCTTGATTCATTCAACGAATAATTCAATCAGACTCAGACAATTTTAAAAAATTTATAACAGAAGAGGCTTTGTCATCATGTCTGCTGGGTTGTCATGTGTAATAATCTTCATGATAGAGATATCTCCCTTCAAGAACACATCTCATACGAAGTGATAACGTACATCTATGTATTTCATTCTTTCATGGAACACGATCTTTTGAAAGATGGATGGCACTCTGACTATCACAGAACAGATTAACTGAAAGTTTTTATGAGCAGATTTCATCGAAAAAACCTTTCAGCTAGATTCCCTCCTTTACTACCTCTGTAATGGCCATATATTCAGCTTCAATGGTAGATAATGCTGTAATTGATTGTAGAGTTGCCTTCCACGAAATTGCACATTCACCTAAAGTGAAAATATAACCTGTAAGAGATCTCTTATCGAGATCTCCTGGATAATCAGAATCTACATAGCCAAAGACTTTGAAGATTGATTTTCCAAAATGCAGGCACATATCAGAAGTTCTGTGTAGGTATCTGAGAATCCACTGGACTGCTTTCCAGTGATCTTTCCCCGGATTTGCCATGAAACGGCACACTCGTAGCTTGTGAGATATCAAGGCGCGTGCAAATCATCACATACATGAGTGATCCAACTGTCGATGAATAGGGGACTTTAGGCATATATTCTTTTTCCGATTCTATCTGCGGAATTAAAGAAGACGAAAGTTTAAAATGGGTGGCAAGAGAAGTGGTAACTGGTTTTACCTTCTCCATATTTAATCTACATAGAATTTTTGCGATGTACCCCCTTTGGCTCAAGGATATTATACCACTTACTCAATCTCTACTGATTTCCATGCCCAAATGTTTTTTAGCTGCCCCGAGATCTTTCATCTGAAATTCTTGACTGAGTTGAAATTTGATTTCATTGATGAATTCAATATTCTTTGCTACAATCAGAATGTCATTGACGTGACTCAGTCGTTGTATGTTAAATCACGCAAATATAAAATTTATAAAACTAGAAAATACGAATTTTCGGATATTTAGAAGTATTTCTAAATAAATATATCAATTATAATTCAATAAAAATTCCAAAAATAGCGATAATTTTCCAGGTCGATCACAGGGATGTAATATAAAATCTGGTAATTATTCAGAATTTTTCTCAATGAGTACGATTTTCTTACGAATTTTATACTAGGAAATAAAAAGGAAATGTATTTAAAATTCACGAAAAAAAAGGAAATAAGGGTGCGGACGTCAGGATGACGTCAGCGCCCGGCGAACGCGAATCAGGCGGAAACACAGTTCCGCCCGGCGATTCTTACGTAGGCGATTACAGACGACTCAATTAATCAAATTAAGATCTGTAAAAGCCGGAAGAATCGTAGTTGAACGAAGTATAGTTTGGTAAATAAAAATCAACAAAGTATCACTAAATGAAGCGTAAATTAAATTGAAAGCAGGAAAACAGAGTTCTGGCGTCGCGACGGCAATGCGTCGGCGATGCACCGGAATCCTGAGCGTTCGGGAGGATCGTCGTGCAGTGTCCACAGCCTCGAAGGCTCTCCTTAGACAAAGACGACGTGGGAAATCTCTAGATAAAGCAGGAAAACAGAGTTCCGGCGTCGCGACGGCGACGCGTCGGCGATGCACCGGAATCCTGAGCGTTCGGGAGGGTCGTCGTGCAGTGTCCACGGCCTCGAAGGCTCTCCTTGGACAAAGACGACGTGGGCAATCTCTAGATCTTCTCGCGAAGTCTAGAGACCAATGAAGTGGGTCGTCGAATCGTCTCCGGCGGCTGTCACCCGGCGGAGCGGAAAAACGGCGACTTTGCGGCTCTCCGGCGGCTGTCACCCGACGGAGAGGGGCTGGATGGAGGTGAGGCGCGTGTTAGGGAGCTTCATCCTCAGGTCCGCGCAGCAAGAGGAGGCTCTTCATCGCATCTGGTACGCTCTCAGGAGGTGGCGACTGGTCTCCCGGCGGATCGTCCTCTTCCCGACGACGGCTTGTTCGTCGATCAATCGGAGATGATTTACTCGATGGATTGCAATCCTTTTATCGCGAATCGTTCAGAAATTTTAGTAGCAATGCTCCGCGAATCGCGTTGACGAGATTTTCGCCGATGATCCAGCGATTCCGGTTGCTTAATCCTTCACCGGCGATCTGCAGGAAAGTCGCGATAATCAGTTAAAAATATATGAATTTTGACTCTGGGAGGATTCGAACCCGCGGCGGTCGCCCGCGCCTTACAAGGTGGATTTAGTCCCACATCGGTTGTGCGCGGATTATTCGGGCGAATATATAGTAAAGTTAGCTTTCTAGGCAAAGTCCTCTCGCGTGTACGACCACTCCTTGCCCCACAGCCGGCTGACACCGGTGACGTGGAAGGGGAGTGGCGCACACGTGCCCCTATCGATCTAAGCAAGCCGCTCGAGCCCCTGCTCGCGGCTACTCCCCGACTGCGCTTCCGACCCGCTTGCGGGCCCGGCTGGCCGGCGGATCCCCCCATTTTGCAATATTTTTATTTTTATTTCTTGTTCTTCATTTATCTCAAAACTAAGACTGTAAAAATCGTATAAAATCACATAATTACCCAAAAATTCACGTTAATCAACTGAAAACCACTTTTCATGCTTTAACACAAATATAAGTCTATTTATCATGAGTTAAGGCTAAAACTATATTATTTACTAATTATTAACTCATGATAATGAAGACTTATCAGTCATCAACATATAGTAACAAATATGTAAATGAGCTCTCAATCTTCTTGAAGTAAATGCAACAGTCGTACTTGCTTCGGGTAAATCTAAGAGTAATAATATATGAATCAAATATTATTACTTCTGGCTGTTCCATGTAGATTTCTTCCTCAAGTTCTCCATGAAGGAAAAATGTCTTTGCATCCATTTTCTCAAGCTCATGGTCCTAGTGGGCAATAAGACCAAGTATAGCACAAATAAAGCTATGCTTGACTACAAGAGAAAATCCCTCTATGTAGCCAATCCCATGGATTTAACTAAATCCCTTTGTGACAAGCCAAGCCTTAAATCATGAGTCTTCAACTCTCAGTATGCCTTCCTTCTGCCTGAAGACCCATTTGCAACGAATAGGTCACTTGGTTCATGGGAGCTTCACTAAGTCCCATGTTTGATTCTTTTGAAGGGACTCAATTTCTTCTCACATAGCTAGAGTTCAATTTATTGAATCACTCGAGTGAATGGCTTCATTCTATGAGCTTGGTTTACTTGAGCTATTGACATCCTTTGCAACAGATAACACATAACCAATGCAATCTACTTGAGCATACTAGGCTGGTGGATGAATTTCTCTACAACATCTATCTCTTGTTATGGAGTAATTCTAATCCTCACTTTGGCCTTCAATAGTACTAGGTACCACCAAAGATGTAGGAATAAATGACTCTAGCAGAATTGAGAAAATTGGTGAGTTTGATGATTGATCGGATTAATTTATATTCAAAGATGATGGCAATCTCTTCACAGTAATTTCATCAAATATGATGTCTTTGCTGAGATTGGGCTACTTGGGTGTAAGTTGAAGTTGTCACTTATAGAGGCACATCTGTACTTTTTAGATACGTCTTCTCTACTCCTAGAAGATGTTAATCAATATAGAATTGTTGAGGAAGATAACCTACCTCACCAACACTCACCTCGACATCGTGTACATGATTAGTGTCCTCCGTCAATTCATGTAGAAATCTCAATAAATTCACTAAGAGTGAGTTTTACGAGTTTTAGTATACATCAAAAGAGCTCCTAAGAGAAGGCTTATTTATTGAAGATATGGACATCTTCAGATTGAACCCTACTCGGATGGAGAATATGTTAGTGATAAGGGAGATCACAAGTTTACCACTAATTATTACACATATGTGAGTGTCAACCTTATCACGTGGCGCTCCAAGAAGTAGAAGGTGGTATCTTGCTCTAGTGCTGAGTTTGAGTATTGCATCATGGGTGAGATAGTGTGAGAGATAGTGTGGCCAAGTTCACTTCTCAAAGAACTTAGCATCTCATTTCTTGTGTCAATGCTTATGTACTATGATAACTAGGCCGTCACCTTCAATGCTAAGAATCTTGTCTCATGAGCGGACAAAATACTATCGAGATTAATTGCCATTAAATTTGGGATAAGATAATATTTGGTGTTATCTCTACTTTGCATGTTGTCTCATCTTATCAACTTGTGGACATCTTCACCAAGAGTCATGTGGGGATGTCTTACAATGTGACATGCACCAAGTTAAGCATGTTTGACTTGTATGCTCCAGTTTGAGGGGGAGTGTTAGAATAAGCCTACTAGCCCACCAAGCCCATTTTAGACTTATTCTCTCCATGTCGCTATTCTTTCTCCACGATCTCCACTTCTTCTTCTCTCTCTCTTTCTTCCCTTCTTCTATGTAACCTCATATACTCCTCTTCTTTAATACATCAATTTTAAAGTTTTCTCTTCCTCTTGTCAATAGGGAAAGTATGGTGTCTACTCTCCCTTGCCATATTGCCAAAATAGTTTTGGGCTGAGGCTGCTCAAATGGCAATATACTTGATCAATAGATCCTCCTCTATAGCAATCAAAATATGGACATCTCTAGATTGTAAAGCTTGAACCCTTTTACTCTTGGCTTAAAACTAAGAAAGATGCATTTGATTGATCGTGGTTCAAACTTGCCATTGTCAATTCAGGCATAGGTTGGACATCCAAAGATGCAAAGTAGAGAGTAGTATGTGGGTTTTCCACTCCAAACCTCTTGAGCTGTCCATATTTCGATGGCTATAGAGGGGGATCTATTGATCAAGTATACTGCCATTTGAGCAGCCTCAGCCCAAAACTATTTTGGCAATATGGCAAGGGAGAGTAGACACCATACTTTCTCTATTGACAAGAGGAAGAAAACTTTAAAATTGATGTATTAAAGAAGAGGAGTATATGAGGTTACATAGAAGAAGGGAAGAAAGAGAGAGAGAAGAAGAAGTGGAGATCGTGGAGAAAGAATAGAGACATGGAGAGAATAAGTCTAAAATGGGCTTGGTGGGCTAGTAGGCTTATTCTAACACTCCCCCTCAAACTGGAGCATACAAGTCAAACATGCTTAGCTTGGTGCACGTCACATTGTAAGACATCCCCCACATGACTCTTGGTGAAGATGTCCACAAGTTGATAAGATGAGACAACATGCAAAGTAGAGATAACACCAAATAGTATCTTATCCCAAATGTAATGGCAATCAATCTCGATGGTATTTCGTTTGCTCATGAGACATAAGATTCTTAGCATTGAAGGTGACGGCCTAGTTATCACAGTACATAAGCATTGACACAAGAAATGAGATGCTAAGTTCTTTGAGAAGTGAACTTAGCCACACCATCTCTCACACTATCTCACCCATGATGCAATACTCAAACTCAGCACTAGAGCAAGATACCACCTTCTACTTCTTGGAGCGCCACGTGATAAGGTTGACACTCACATATGTGTAATAATTAGTGGTAAACTTGTGATCTCCCTTATCACTAACATATTCTCCATCCGAGTAGGGTTCAATCTGAAGATGTCCATATCTTCAATAAATAAGCCTTCTCTTAGGAGCTCTTTTGATGTATACTAGAACTCGTAAAACTCACTCTTAGTGAATTTATTGAGATTTCTACATGAATTGACGAAGGACACTAATCATGTACACGATGTCGAGGTGAGTGTTGGTGAGGTAGGTTATCTTCCTCAACAATTCTATATTGATTAACATCTTCTAGGAGTAGAGAAGACGTATCTAAAAAGTACAAATGTGCCTCTATAAGTGACAACTTCGACTTACACCCAAGTAGCCCAATCTCTTAAAATCTATCAAGAGCATACTTTTCCTTAGAGCAAACAAGCTTGTCATCTTAATAGGTGAACTCAATCTTAAGAAAGTATTGTGGAACTCCTAGAACTTGTATACTAAAATATTACTACAAGTATGATTTAGTAGCTTGAATGCTTACTTCATCACTTCCTATAATAAAAATGCATCCACATAAACAACTAAGATGATAATATTAGATTTAGTAGTCTTTGTAAGTACTATGGGATTCACAAGACAGTGAAAATCTAAATTGTGTTAGAAGACCACTAAACTTAGCAAATTAGGCACATGAACTTTGCTTAAGTCTGTAAATGACACGTTGTAAAAGACATAACTTTGATGATTCTTGCTGAGCAACATATCTAGGAGGTTGCTCCAAAACACTTATTCCTCAAGGTCATTGATAAGTCTTCATTATCATGAGTTAATAATTAGTAAATAATATAGTTTTAGCCTTAACTCATGATAAATAAACTTATATTTATGTTAAAGTGTGAAAAGTAGTTTTCAATTAATTAACGTGAATTTTTAGATAATTATATAATTTTATATGAATTTATATAATTTTTATAGTCTTACTTTTGAGATAAATAAAGGAAAAGAAATTAAAATAAAAATAAAACAAAATAAAAGGGACCCACCAGCTAGCCAGGCCCGCAAGCGGGTCAGAAGCGTAGTTAGAGAGTAGCCACGAGTAGGGGCTCGAGCAGCTTGGACTGATAGGGGCACATTTATGCCACTCCCCTTCCACGTCTCCAGTGGCCAGCCAGTTGTGGGGCAAGGAGTGGTCGTACACGTGTGAGAAAAAGACTTGCTTTCAAATGTAACATTACTATATATTCGTCCAAAACTTCGGTGCACAAGTGATGTGGGACTAAACCCACATCACACCTTCTCTAGAAAGGGTGGGCAGCCGGCACGAGTTCGAATCCTCCTAAAGTCAAAACTCATATTTTCTTATCTGATTATCGTGACTTTCTTGTAGACTGTCGGTGAAGGATTAAGCAACCAGAATCATTGGATCATCAACGAAAATCTCGTCAATGTAATTCATGGAGCATTGTTACTAAAATTGTTGAACAATTTGCAATAAAAAGATCTTGAATCCATCGAGTAAAGTATCTCCGAATGATCGACAAATAAGCTATCGTCGGGAAGAGGACAATCCATTAGGAGACAAGTTGTCACCTCCTGAGAGCATACCAAATGCGATGAAAAGCCTCCTCTTGCTACACGGACTTGAGGATGAAGCTCCCTAGCATACGCCCCACCTCTATCCAGCTCTTCTCTATCGGGTGGCAACTGTCAGAGAACCACAAAGTTGTCACTTTTCTACTACGCCAGGTGACAACTGTTGGAGATGATTCGACAACCCATTTCATTGATCTCTAGACTTCGCAAGGAGATCTAGAGATTGCCCATGTCGTCCTTGTCCAAAGAGAGCCTTTAAGGTCATGGACATTACATGACGATCCTCCCAAAGGCTCAAGATTTTGGTGCATCGTCAATGCATTGACGCCGCGATGCTGGAACTCTATTTTCCTACTTTCAACTTAATTTCTGCTTCATTTAGTGATAATTTGTGTGATTTAAATTTACCAACATATACTTCATTCTATTAAGATTTTTCCAGCTTTTATAGATCTTAATTTGATCAATTAAATCATCTGTAATCACTTACGTAAGAATCATCAAGCAAAACTCTATTTTTGCTCGATTCATGTTCATCGAGCGCTGACGTTATCTTAACATCTGCACACTTATTTTCCTTTTTTGTAAATTTTAAATATATTTTATTTCTTAATCTTAAATTCATAGAAAATAATATTCTTTGAGAAAATTCTGAATAATTACCTGATATTATACAACATCCCTATGATTGACTTGGAAAATTATCACTATTTTTGAAAGTTTTATTAAATTATAATTAATATATTTGTTCAAAAATACTTCTAAATATCTAAAAATTCATATTTTCTAGTTTTATAAATTTTAAATTTGCATCATTTACTATACAACGACGAAGTCACATTAGTCACCATAGAGAAAAGTATTAGAAACATTCAATTGATGTAAAGGCTATGCCTAATTCACCACTAGAGAGAGTATCACTTGAGTGGAGTTGAGTCAAACCACTAGAGAAAATGTCTTAATGTAGTCAATATCATAGGCTTGTGTAAATCTACGAGCAATCAAGTAAGTTTTGTGACGTGCAATAAATCAATCTAGGTTATACTTGAATGTGAAAACCCACTTGTATGTGAAGATATTGACATCACATTAATAAGATATAAGTGTCTAAGTTTCCTAAGACACCAAGACATCCACCTCTAAGTTCATGACCACCTTCTATTTAGGTACATGTATAGCCTTAACATACGATTATGGAATCGACTCGGAGGTTACGAAAAGAACAAAAGTACAAAAAGAAGGAGAAAGACAATCATAGGAAATAAAGTGGGAAATTGAGTGTCTAGTGCATCCATGTGTACCTTTGTGGAGAGTAATAGAAAGATAAAGGTCATCTACTTGCATGTCAGAAGAGACGACTAGAGGAAGCTTATTGGTAGAGGATGAAGACGAATTTAATCCTAGAGTAGAGGAGTCGGATGGTGACAAAGTCAAAGGTGTCAAAGAAAGAGCTAACCAAGCAGTAGTAGGAGAGGGATCTACAATAATCACCACAAGAGAAAAACTAAGTGGTGAAGTTACAGTGGATCAAGGAGGAGTTAATGTTGGAGAAAAGAAGTGAGACTCCACATGAAAAGTAATGTCAGCTAATGTCACATAGTGATGAGTATCAAGAAAATAGACCCGATAACCCTTTTATGTCTGTGAGTAACCAACAAAGACTCCTTTGAAGGCACAAAGGGCCAATTTAGAAAGAGGAGTGGTCTTGGATGAAAATAGTACATCTAAAGAAACAAGGTAAGAAAAAAATAGAAGAATCGAGTAAAAATTGATGAAGTGAAATGACTCTATCAAGAAGAGTGGAAAGAAGCCAATTATAGAGATATGTGACTATCAGGAGAGCGTCAGACCATAGATGATGAGGAATATTCATCTCAATGAGTAGCATATGAGTAATGTCAAGTAATTAATAATATTTTCATTCAATAACACTTTTTTGTTAAGATATGTGTAGACATGTGGTCTGATAATGAATACCACGATTAACACAAAATATGTGAAGTGAGTCTTAGACCAGTTCTAAAGTATTGTCGATGCAAAGAACTTGAGTATAGTAAAGTACTAAATGATGACCTCAGTAATGAAGTGAACAACTATAGCATGAACTTTGATACGACCTTGGAGAAAATAGACTCAACTCACTCAAGTATAATTATCAATAAAAATAATATAGTAGCAATGACCCTAGATTAATAGAGTATGAAATAGGTCCCAAACATCACAATGAATGAGGTCAAAGGGTGTTGTGGCTGAAATCTCATCTCAACTCGAGTATGAACCACCATAATGTTTACTTAATTAACACAACTCACAACTCACAACTCGATTAAGCCAAGGCATAGTTTTTTTAAAAAAATTAAAATAAAATGTCCTACATGACGATGCCACAGAAGAGATGAAGTGGTCATAAAAGAAATAAAAACAATTCAAAGGTCAAAAGAAGGTTTATTAGAAATTAGCTCGAAGATACCTCATTTATTCTCATGTCCCAAACCAATCCTCTACCTAGTATATAGATCTTATAAGGTATAATCAATAGAGAAAATGTAACAGAATAAAGGATGACTCAAATAATGACATCAATAGATAAAAAGTTAGTAAGGAATCTAAAAATATAGAGATTTTGATGAGAAGGATACTTGGGATAACAACAATATTATCATGTCCATTGACTAGACAAGTCTAGCCATCAGCAATGGTAATCGGTAGATGATGAGGGGTAGGTTGGTGCGATGATGAAATGATGGATGTGTCGGTTATGTGGCTGGAGGCTCCCGAATCAATAATCCATGGTAAAGATGAATATGTAAGGAAAGTGTGTGTACCTAACGTGGAAGGATTTAGAAGCAAGGCCAAATAAGCCGAGGAATGAGTCATGGTATGACTTAAACAGCATAGTGCTTCATATTCGGCAAAGGTTAATGTCACCTGAAAAGTTAGAGATGGGACATTGGACGACGTCATAGAAGCTGGTGAGGGAGGTGGGAAAGACGATTTGGTAGAGTTGGGCTTTCCCAATTGTTCTAACATTTGTTGAGCAAGTGGTTCTACTTGTCACAATAGATGCAAGGAGGAAAAGAATTGTGGCCACTATCTGATCTTGAAGTAGGAGGGTCATGTGGTGCTCGAAAAGTGAAGACAACTATCGTTGAAAGAGTAGATGTGTCACTAGCTATACTAGGAAGAGTGTATGTACTCGCATGAAGTGCAACAGAGAAAATGTGAGAGATATTAAGTACTCGGTCTCCGAAGAGGATCATCTCACAAATTTGAGAGGTAATTGATAGATGAAGCCCACTCAGATAGACTCTGACAAGAAATTTCTAATGGTAGTGCTCAAACGTCAAGAGGTCAATGGTCAAAGGTTGATAGATGATAAGCTCTTATATTAGGGCTTAGAGATGACCAAAATGAGCCTGAAGTGAGGAGTCACCCTACTTGCAAGTAAAAGGTGACTTAAAGATCTCGACCGTGCAACTAATTTTCATCTAATTGACATACATGTTCTTCAATGTCATCTAGAGTTGTTGCATAGGACGAATTCGGGCAAGAGGCTCCACAATACTCGGCTCAATGCTCTGAAGCATTTAGCAAAGGATGGATTAGTGAGGCTGGATGGATCAATCAACAAGTGGTGGAGAAGGATGTGCAATATCAAAAAGTGTTTAAATTTAGAGGCCCACGATGCATAATTATGTCCATTGAATACATATGCTAGTCAAGTGAGTTGCGTCGTGATGGAGTGTCATGGAGTAGCTGACTCGATTAGAAGAAGAGTGACAACTAGTTGAAAAACTGGCATAGGAGATGCTTGAGAAATTGAAGAATTGCCCACCGGATCCATAGATTAGGATTAGTGGGAGATGAGATGATGTTTGGAAGGGACGTCCCCAAAGCTATGCAGGGTGCTGGGAGGTGATGTGTAGGGTGTCATGAGGCAACAAAAACATAGCACAGGGCACTGGTGAGAGATGGTGCCATCAAATGCACAAACGTAGTGGCATGCCAAGTGGGTGTGCAAGATGGCGCCAGGCAAGTACCAAACAAGCATGCAAGTGTATGTGATAGGTGTGCAAGACTACACAAACCAGGCACTGGGTAGGTGCGCAAGACAATGCTATAGGAGATTGCATTAGGAGAGGATACGTGACACTGATAAAAGAAGCAAAGTGGTGGTATAGAGAAACCCTAGGATTTTGATACCATATTGACAAGAGAAAGAGAAAACCCTAGAAGTGATGTATTGAAGAAGAGGAGTACGCAAGGTTATATAAAAGAAGGAAAGAAAGAGAGAGAGAAGGAGAAGTGGAGATCATGGAGAAAGAATAAGGATATGGAGAGAATAAGTCCAAAATGGGCCTAGTGGGCCTAATGGGCCTATTCCAACATTCTCAATTATGATCTGGTTCATCCATTCTACAACACCATTCTACTATAGTGTATGTTGGACCTTTAAATGCCAAAGAATACTTTCGCACTTATAGAAATCAAAAAATTCTTTTGAGCAGAATTCTATTTTGTTCTCAAAACCTCAACATATTTTTCAGCTTGTTTCTCCATCATAACCTTTTACTCTTTAAAGTGAAGAAACGTTTTGTATTTCTATCTTAGAAAATAAATCCATACCTTTTGGGACAAATCATTGGAGGTGAGCATATAGGAGGCTTCACCAATGGAGGGAATAGTTGATGGTCCCTAGAGGTTTGAGTGCACATAATTAAGAATTCCCTCTATCTTGTGGGTGGCTGTTGGGAAACTTGATCTCGTTTGCTTCCTATAGATGCAGTGTTCACAGAGCCTCAGAGTACTAGTGCTCTGCCAGAGAGCAAATCACGTCGACTAAGCTTGGTCATGCCTTGTTCACTCATGTGGCAAAGATGCATATGCCACATCTGAGTGATCTCATTGGCAAAGGTAGATACAATAGCAGCATTACCCATGACTGTGCTTCTGTCCAACACATAAAGGTTGGCAATTTTGCGATGTCCCATCAGGACGACTAGTGATCCTTTAAAGACTTGAAGGATGCCTCCTTCACCGATGAATTTATATTCCTGGGACTCAAGAGTACTAAGAGAAATTAAATTTCTCTTCAACTTGGGAACATACCTAACATTACTCAAGGTCCAGATCTTCCCATCAAACATCCAGATGAAGATGTTTCCGATTCCCACAATCTTGCAAGGTGAATCATTTCCCATCATGTCAACTCCAAGCGACAATGTAGTATAAGTTGCAAAGGCATCTCGTTGAGAGCAGATGTGGAACGTGCAAGCCAAGTCAAGAATCCAATCGTTCGGTGAATTGAATTTCAACTCCGACACTGCCAAGATTTCACCAGAATGAGCGATGTTTGCAGCAGTTTATTGATCGACAGAGTTCTCTTGAGAGCTCTTCTTATTCTTATTCTGCAAATTGTAACATTCCTCCTTGATATGCCCCTTTTTTTTACAATAGTTGCAAGGATACTCCAAATTTTTTGACTTGCTTTTAGGACCATGAGGCTTCTTCTTCTTCTCTTGATCTCGTCCTTTGACAACCAAGCTTTCTGGTGGGGTTAAAGAAGTCTCCGTCGAGAACTTGTTCATACTCTCCTTTGATGATAGAGCCTCATATATTGTATCTAAAGAAAGTTCTTTAGATCCATAAAATAGAATGTCCCGGAAGCTTGAATAGGATAGCAGTAGAGACATGAGGAGAAGTGAGCAGAGGTCTGCCTCTATGAGAATGCTAGCATTAAAGACATCAAGTTCTGAAAGAATGTCCTTAAATGATGCCAAATGCAATTCTAAAGAGGTACGTTTCACCATGTGTAGACCAAAGAGTTTTTGCTTTGTCAAATTTCGATGGGTAATAGTCTTTTCCATGCAAATCTCCTCAAGTCTCAACCATAATATGTGTACACTAGTCCCCTTACTGACATCTTGAAGGATATCATTCGAGAGATGGAGTCGAATTTGACTAAGGGCCTTGCAATCAGCCAGTTTCTTCTGTTCCTCCGTCCACAATGTAGACATCGTGGAGAACAACATGTCTTCCAAATCAAGTTGAGCCAACACGGCCCTCATTCTGATTTGCCATAACGTGAAGTTCGTCTTCTTGTCGAGTTGAGGAAGCTCAATCTTCATGGATGAGATTTTGCTCTGATACCACTTGTTGCAAATCTGCGCCGTAGACTTTCACTGAGAGTGTATATGAAATATCGTAAGATCCTCCCTTTGGCAAAAAGGAACAAGTAGGTGAGAAATCTACTCACCCACAACACTCAGGAGATAAAGTAGGAACAAGAAGAGAAGAAAAATAGGAACAAAAAGTACATAAAACTCCACACTACGCAAATGAGAATACATGATAGTTTTTAAAGAGACTGGCCGGCCATTACAAATAGAAGGAACGGTTAAAGAACTGCTGCCATTAAAGAAATAGTAACGGTTGGTGAAACGCTCTTTATGAAGAGCGTTATCACGTGAAAGGAAGCACCGTTAACAACACCAGACATGGGTAAGACTCTGATGTTTGTGCCAGAAAACAAACGAAGAGAAGTCTTGTACGTCTTTCAGACATACAAGGGTCATTCCACAAGGGAGATGACTACATAACAACCAGATAAAGGATCAGATGTCTACGGAATATAAGCTCGAGCAACGATAGAATCAAATCGTGAACATGGCAGACTCGAGAACGATGGAGAGAGATGCTTGGGGCAGAGTCTTCATTCAACGGAGACACAGCCATAAGCTTTATTACTTTAATATCACGTCACTCAGCGGAGAAGAGATGCCGCCGCTCGAAGAGAGAGTCGGGGAATCTTCTTTTCTTCGAATCGTTGGCTCTAGTTTTTAATCAGATACCTTTACAAGGTTGGAATAGGCCGCTACATGTTGGGCCGGTTCAACTTAAGTATATAAGGAAACATAGAAAAGTATAACATCCTCCGATGACGGATACACAGAGAAAGAAGCATACCGATTTCTTGTAGGACTACAGATTACGTTCTCACCTTACTTCTATGGGTAGATAGAAACCCTTTTTGTCTCTAGGTTTCCGTTTAGGGGGGTCGCCGGCGGCAGCTCTGGCGGTGCATCCCGCCGCCCCGCCATCGTCTTCTTCAGCACCAGGTGGAGTCCCCCGGGGTTTATCTAAGTGGGTATGTTCAGTTGGTCCAGACCCGGATGTGGAGGCCTCGGGGGGCTTCCACTCTTGGAAAGTAGACTATTTCGTCCCCTTCGGCCTCCTCCCACCTGCCATTTCAGAGCTTATTACTCACTGTGGAAGGGGAGAGAGAGAGAGCAGGGAGAGTAGCCCTTTCTTTACCTATATCTGGTCAAGAAGTGGTAAAGGAACAGGGATATCTAAACCAGGCTCAGCTCCTTCCCCGGGCAGAGCCTCCCGCCGCAGCCGAATACCATGAAGTGTTGGTGATTCTCCAGGCTCCTGTCCTGGAGGGGGCCCAGCAGCAGGGTTAAATGTGTAGAGAGAGAGAGAGAGTGAGAGAGAGAGTCACCTTCCATCTCCAGGGGTCGAAGAAGAGCGGCGCCGGGTACCGTACGGAGTCGTAGTTGCTCTCTCTGATGTAGACCTGGATTTTCCACCCTTTGGGGACGACGAACCCTAAGAAGAAGCAGTCCGGGCCGTTCGTCAGAGGACCCTCCTCTCAGATTGGTGGTGGGGAGGGAGGGGGGGGACCCTAATTCGGGACTCACCATTGATGGGGATGTCCTCGGTCGTCTTCCTCATAAGCCCATTGATTATGGTGGCCAGCCGCATCGTCTCCAGGATCACCTTCAGCGGCCCACGCGGATTAGGGTTTCGGAGGAAGGACATGGTGGAAGAAGAGGAGGGCGCTTGCTAACCGCACGAGTGAAGCTAATGGATGTGTACTCTCCCCAGGTCAACGCCTCATCCGGCGACGATTTCCGCTGTCTGATCTCCGAATACTCCTACACAGAGAGGAGAAAGAGGGAGAGAGAGAGAGGTCATTAAGTGGGATGGTGAAGGATAGGATTAGAGATGTTACCCAAAGTTCTTGGAAGGCGGATGGGTGATCGTGGAGATAATTGACCGCCATCGACACCGTTCCGGAGACGGTCTCAAAGCCAGTATACATGATGGCGATGAGCAAATCAATCATCTGGTCGTCGGTGAGATTGGGCCTCGTCCGGTGGACCTCTTGCTCTTCTTCTCCTTCTTCTTCCTCTCGGAGAAGCAAGCTGAGTATGTCACCGCCGCCATTCGGTGCGAAAGGGCTCCTCCTCTCCTCAATCAGGTCCCTTAACAAGCTGGTGATCGTCTTCCTCGCCTGCAGCGTGAAGCCGTCAGAGTGGCCGGAGGAGGACGACGACGAGGACAGCGGCGGACGGAGAAGAAGAGAGAGCTTGCCTGAAGTCCGCAGCGTTAGGCGGTGCCGGGGAGATCAACGGGGAGAGAGCGTTCCCCGAACGAGCTTGAAGAACTCCGCCTTGAGCTCCGCCGCCGTTTCGCCAGTCTCAATCCCGGAGATCAGCTTGAGCGCTGAAGAGAAGATCATCTGGAAACGAAAAACACGCCGCAGGTCAAAAATCTCGCCCCCAATGGCGGCGGAGGGATCCTGCTTCGTCTCCAAACTGACCTCTCTGGCCTTCTCCTGGACGTCCATAGTGGCGCCGTCGCCCCCCCAGCTGCAGAGGCGGGACCCGATGAACTCGTCTAACGTGGGGAAGAGCCGCTCTCTCACGGCGACGGGGCCGATCACAGACAGCATCTTGCCCTCACCATGCGGTGGATGGCGCCGTGGACCGCCACAACGTTCCATTCCCCCAGAAGCTCTGTCATGGCCTGCCGGTACCCCGGAACGAGCCCCCTCGCCTCGTTCATGAGGATCCCCCTCTTGACCTCCAGATCCATGGACATAACGGTGGGGCTGCCCAGCAGGTGGGACGTGAACAAGCTTCGTACCTGCACACATTTCCGATCATCACCAGCCAGGTTTTGCTTACTCTCGCCGCCGCAACGGTCATTATTTACAGCGGAGAGGAGAAACCACACCTGGCTCTCTGCTTCTTCATGAAGTCGGGACCCGCCGGAGAAACTCGATCGTGTCGCCGACGACCGGCCAGCCCATCGTTCCCTGTGGGAGGCCCCTCCGCGAGTACCTCAGCTCGTTCCACCTCATGAAAAAGCTGCACAACACAGAGAAAACCCACCGCCACCCCCAGACTCACAAGGAAAGCCATTGCCCTCCTTGCCCTCCTAACACACTCAGAAGAAGGAAAAGTGACCAATGCAGCGGCGAGAGGAAGAGCAGCTTGGACGGGGGCGGTGGATATATGTAGAGGAAGAATAAAATTATAATTTTAGAGAAATTATTTTTCATGGATTGGGATTCTTGACTACCAATCGGGATCAAGAGACTCGGTCATCGAGTTCATATTATTTCTCATAATGAATTAGATGCGTATTATTTATTCCTCCACCTCCCCTCTACTGCCCGTCTTGTAAGTTTGATTGAGACAAGTTGTTGTGTAAGGGCTGATGTTTCTTAAAATACTCCCCTGTCCTTCGCCTAAAATAATTCTACGCATGTGTGCACACGTGCGGTGGCAACGAGGAGAGGACACGCTTTTTATCAATAACCCCTCGTATTAGTAGGTAAACGTTGCATGTTAGTGTATCCAAACGAGATAGAGAGATGGAAACACTTAAACGTTTCACCTGGACAATATATCAGTGAATAATTTGACATGGGCTTTTCTTAAATTGGGAGTCCCTCACACATCCCCGTGTTCTAGAGACTATTGAAAAAGTTTGGCGTGGTTACTATACCAGTTAAAGGTTGAAATGGAGCGTTGTTTTGGCCCTTATGTTCTACGGTAGGCCACACAACCCAATCATGGTGGGGACTTGTTGCCCATAAGCATCTGCCAACATCATTCTCTGCCCGTGATCCTGTGAACACTAAAAGCCTTGTTTACATGCATGAAAGTTAATGTATCCCAATGAAAGATAGAGATTATTAAATGTTTCACATGGTCAGTGTACCAATGAAAATGCTGACTAGGGGTTTTGAAATTGAGCATCATTTTGGCCCTTATGTTCTATGGTAGGCCCTACCACCCGTACCTCATTTGCAGTCATGGTGGGGATTTGTGGCCCTTGAACATCCATAGACGTCACTCTCAGCTCGTGATAACCTATGCTCAATTACGTAAGTGCTTATTTTAAAATTAATAATAATTTTTTAATTTTTTTATTATTATTGTATTCATGATTTAGCTTTTTATTATTTCACACTTTTATGCATAATGTCTTCATATACACAAATGCGAGGGCACAAAGAGAAACCCAAAAAGATAATTCAGCCCTTGCTCCACACAATTATATTAGATTGAGATGGAGAGAGAGAATATTTGGACTTCCATGTGACTGAAATTTGTCAACATTTCCTGATTTATTTCAAGTTGGCACTTGAAACAATCTAAACTATATTATGACATATTAATTCAACCACAATAATAATTAAGAACATATATATATGTACTTGACTAACTTCATATTTATAACCTATTAGATAAATACATAGAATTCATGGACATTGATATATGGAAGTCAAGAACCATCTTCCTCCCATGATATTGAGAGTAAATGATGAGCCCCACACATCATTATGTTATTCATCTTAGAAAATAAATTTAGAAAAATAGTTTTCAAAATACTAATTGACAGATGATCAAGACAACATTGATACAACCAAAAATCCTAAGGTATAACAAGCTTCATAGCTCCACATCTAGATGAAGGTTGTGACTTCACATTGTAGCTACATCCTAAGTTCTCAAAATGATAAAGGCCTACAAATTATTTATCAAATATTCTTGTTTATTACCTTATCATAAATATTATTAAAAATGCCATCAATGAACACTAATGTGACAGCCATTGTATACTAAATCATGTAAATTTAAAATTTATAAAACTAGAAAATACTAATTGTTAATATTTAAAGTATTTATAAATAAATTAATTAATTATAACTCAATAAAGTTTTTAAAAAAGTGAAAATTTTTAAGTCGATCACAAGGATGTAATATAATATCTGAATGAAATTTTTTGTAAAGAATAAGATTTTTTTTAGAAATTTTAGACTCAAATATAAAAATGAAATATATTTAAAATTCACAAAAAAGAAAAATAAGGGGTGCAAATGTAAATTAGACGAAAATAAAGTTTCATCTAGTGATTCTTACCAAAATGATTACAAATAATTTAACTGGTAAAATTAAGATCTATAAAAGTCAAAAGAGCTGTAATTGAATGAAAAGTAGTTTAGAAAATTTAAATCACACAAATTATCTCTAAATAAAGTAAAAATTCAGTTAAAAATTAGAAAATTAGAGTTTCAACATCACGACTGCAATATATCAGTGATGCACCAGAATTTTGAGCATTCATGAGGATTGTTATGTAGAGTCCATGACTTTGAAGGTTCTTCTTGGATAAAGATGACGTAACAATCTCTAAATCTTCTTATAAAGTCTAGAGATCAATAAAATGATTTGTTAAATCATCTCTGACATCTGTCACCTAGTAGAGTAGAAAAACAATAATTTTACAACTCTCCAGTAGCTATCACCTAACAAAGAGGAGCTGGATAGAGGTGAAGCATGTGTTAGAGAGCTTCATACTCAAGTCTGTATAGCAAGAGGAGGCTTTTCATTGCATCTAATATGCTTTCAAGAGGTGGTGACTTGTCTCCTAGTAGATCGTACTCCTCTCACTGACGGCTTGTTTGTCAATCAACCAGAGATGATTTACTCGATGGATTCACGAGCCTTTTATCATAAATCGTTCAATAATTTTAGTAACAATGCTCTATGAATTACATTGATGAGATTTTCACCAATGATCAAGCAATTCGAGTAGCTTAATTCTTCACCAACAATCTACAGAAAAGTCATGATTAAATAGATAAAAATATAACTTTTGACTCTCGTAGAATTCAAACTCGCACCCATCGTTTGCCTACATGAGAGAGAGATAATAAGTTCTTGAATATCCTTATATAGTGACATTATTATAATATATCATTATTATAAATAAGGAGTATTTTTGATATTAAAATCATAAAATTATTCTAAAGAAAGTGTGACTATTAGTTTAGTCCCACATCGATTATATGCTAAATGTTGAGATACATATATAATTATACAAAATTTAGAAAGTAATGAGTCCCTTTCTCACGTGTGTACGACCACTCCTTGCCCCATAGTTGACTAGCCACTAGTGATGTAGAAAGGGAGTAACGCACACATGCCCCCATTGGTCCACTATTGCTCAAGCCTTCGCTCACGACTCTACCCTGACTGCACTTTCGACCTGCTTGCGAGCCCGACTAGATAGGGGTTCCCCCCTTTTTCTATCTTCATTTACCTCAAAAATAGGATTATAAAAATTATATAAATTTACATAAAATCACATAATTAGTTAAAATTTCCCATTAATTAATTAAAAATTAATTTTGATAATTTAACACAAATATAATTTATTTATTATGAGTTAAGGCCAAAATTATATTATTTATTAATTATTAACTCATGATAATGAAGACTTATCAATCACCCAATAGTTGATATCAATAATTATATTATTAATAAAAATAGGACTAATAGGAAGCTTTATGACATCCAAAATATTTTTAATTATCTCTAAACAATCTACCTCTATATTTCCTTTACCTACTACAATAATAAGTAATTCATAAGCTGTTTTCCTATTACTTGGAAAAAGATTATAGGTTTGAGAATAATATGTGGTATTAGTCATGATCAATAACTCCAATATGTAAAATCTAAAAGGTAAAAACAGAATTATGTGCAACATGTATACAAATAATCTAGGATTCTTACGAAAGTGACTCATGTCCTAGATCTCATAACTAACTTCAATTTCTTGAACTCAACCTTCAAGCCTTATAAAACTGAAAGAGTATTTTCCTCCAATATTGTTGTTCCCTCATAAGCTAACATGGTAGTAAGATGAACTCAATCTCTTGTCAAAGGTATCTCTAGTGTACCTATGAATATACATTTTGACGCACATTAGAAAATTTATTCATGAATTACTTTTCAATAGTTTATTTAATATTTATTAAACCATCAACATACATCATGACCATTTACATCACAAGTTAAATATCTTTGATAAATATTCAAATAATATTAAATGATAATACTTAGTACAATCCTATAGTTAACTATGAATCTAAAGAGTTATACCCTTGAAATATATTATTAATTGAAATAATAGAGCATAATATTCTTGAAACATGAGTGCAACTATGGCATCTAATGAAGTCACATGTTTTTCTAAAAATGTAATGCTACCAATGGGATTTGAATATGGCATCTAAGCACTATGAAGAACATCTAAAAATAAAAGAAAAATAATGTCAGATAATGGGGTTCGAACTCAAGAAGCAAGCTATGCAAAGGTAGGAAAAATGACATCTGAAATATTTGAACATGATACTGATCAAAGTATGAGTGAAATTTGAAATTGAGATCACTATAGCAACAATGTGAAAAGCTGATCAAATATTTGGAGTAAAAGTACACAATCATAATTGAGTATGATTCAACCTTAAAGTCTTATATGGCAATGGAGCTAGATTGTTCACACGAAGGTATTAAAGAAGTGGAGAAGTCTTTGCATCATAACTTGCACAATCACATGAAAACCTTATATGGAAGAAATAACCAAGTAAAATGTTCAAATTTAACTCAGTCTCAAAAACAATGTAACTATTGAAATATTATAAGTTTCTACAAGAAAACTTCAAAGATTAGACATGAGACACATGTATGTTTCTAAGTAAGGAAGAAATCATGGTCAATCTCATACACCCTAAATAATAACATGCCACTAGAGTTTGTGGACAGAATGACAAATTCAATGATCATACCTGTGCTCAACCTTCAAGACAAAGATATTGATCAGTTAAAAATCTCCAGACACATTTTCAAGGACAACCTATGTGGGAGTAGAAAGGTTTGAATTGAATATAAAGGTCAGAAGCACATATTTTGGATGGTTACCCATTAGTAGAATATGTGGACTAAAAATAAGCCAAATGACAACCTCTGAACAAGACCCTAAAAGAACAAACATTTTTTAATCAGCTACAAATCCCCAAAAAAAATATCAAAGATAACAAATGTGAGAGTGAAAAGTTTAAACAATAAAATAACTTAAGGCCACTAGTATGCTAGTGGAACAATGAAAATGTCTTTAAACTCATATGGCCATTTTCAAATACTGAAAAGATAGATATATTAGAGTATAAAGAGGACCAGTTGAAGATGAACATGGTTAATATTACCTGAAGAGACTTTTATCAACAATATTCAATTAAGCTCAAGAAAAAGATCATACTCAATCTTTTATATTAAAACAACTCTGTATCTCAAAGAGAGATCAAAGCATCATCCTACTTATTCATCTACGATGATCTACAAGTCAACTAATTGAGTTGAAAGTTGTTAGTCTTTATTAGACTTGAAGGTAATTTAGGTGGTTAGTGGATAGAGGGTTAAGCTAAGACATAAGGTGTTAAGAGCTAAAACTAACTTTAGATGACATCTTTATATAGATTGAATATTAGTGTTTATTGATCTTATTAAATTACCTTTATTTTTTAAGAAATAATGAAATCTAGTAAGGATATCTTTCGAGACTGAATGTAGCCATGTGAAAGGTGAATCAATATAATAGTCTTTGTATTCCTCATAGTCACTAATAAGTGAGAGAAACCAAAGCAACCCTAAGATGAAAAGAGAAATGACTTAGGTGAATCTATATATAGTGTTGAGGAATAAAATTATAGTTATACTAGAACTATAAAATTATTTATAAATATGTCCTTATTAATATAATACTTAGAATGTCTTGTTCACGAGCAAATTAAATCCAAACGATTGGTTTCGCTTATGCTGAAATCAGATATGATATGCTCATATTGGGTTGAAAGGACATTTTCTAACTTAATGGCTCCCATTTTCCTCTAAATACTTAGAACCTCTAAATTATAACCTTTCTTTCTGGGTCTCTTCTCTCATGAGTTAATGGCTCTCTCCTTGTCAACGTCATCTTCTTCTAGTGAGCTTTGATCATAGAGGTTTTAACATTGTATCAGAGCACTCCAAGTGAACTCATTCCACCTCTAACCCTTTGAAGATTCCTTATCTTGTTGGCTTGCTCTATAAAAAAGAGAAATTGCTACTTCACCTTAATTTCTTCACAAAAACTCACCTGCTTGCAATTTTGTTGTTAGCGTCTTGCGGTATCTCTCACTATTACAAAAGACTTTCTTCACTTTCTAGCCTCTCTTTCCCTATTTGAAGGTGAGAGAATGTTTAGATATCTGTCTAGAGAAAGGGCTTTGTTATTACGACTCTATTTTCCTCTTTTTGGCCCTATACTTCTTTGTGGAGCAGTAGCTAGTTGAGGACAGTTTTTTTCTATGTTTGAGATCACAGATATGATGTCCTTAGCAACACATATATCTGATATATCCAAATATATATTAGAGCTGCCAAACATTATAAATGAACTAAAATTTAATAGTAGGAAGTTACTCTAATGGTGTTCATTCATTGAGGTAATTCTTACAAAAAAAGATAAATAGACCACCTTCTTGATCTAGCACCTGAATCAATCAATCTTAAATTCAAGCTACGAAAAAATGAGGATGGTATAATCAAGTCATGGCTCTGGAGCACAATGACCCTAGAGATTGATACACATTATTATTTCCTCCAACTACAAGAGACATTGGGAGAAAGCTAATAAGGCTTTTTTAAAGGAACATGATGAAGCCCAATTTTTTTGACATGTCTCTAATGCAATGAGTCTAAAATAAGGCATGAAATCAGTTCGAGAATATGCAAATGAATTAGAGTCTCTATGACTTGAAATTGACTAATGTAGACCAATTATTACTAGAGATTCTCAAGATGTAATTTTTATTAAGAAATATATTGAGATTGATCGAATTTACAAATTTCCCAATGATCTTAATCCCAAGTATGGTCAAATTCGTGCAAAACTTTACCAAGAAAAAAATTCAGATCTAGAAGAAGTCATTGTATTGATGAGAAATGAAGAAAGTAGTAGAAGTCTTATGGTAGAGTTACAAACTATGAATAACTCTGCATTTGTGGTTATCGAAGAAGATCCAGCACAAAAATCTAGTCCAAGAACAACAAAAAAGGGTGTTTATAGAGTTAACCTATGGTGCACCTATTTAAGTAGGCATTAGCTATAACATCTAGCTCAGCAAGCTCCTCTGATGAATTTCCACAATCCTTGGTATTGTATATGACATGGAATTCATTTTCTACATTATGGGTCCTACATACTAGACCCACTAACCATATGACTAATATTGAAAATTATTTTTTAACTTATCATCCTTGTCCAACTAGTAGGGAAGTGGCCGTAGCTGATGGATCTCTAATTTTTATAGTGGGCATAGATAATGTGAAAATTGATTATTTATGTATCATCAAAAATGTATTACATGTCCCTAAGCTCTCTAAAAAATTAATATGTTAAGAAATTAATAGATGATATAAATTGTAGGGTGACTATTGACAATGATGTATGTGATGTATATGATGAGGTGATGAACAAAAGAATTAGACATGTTGAAGAGTGTGGAAGCTTCTATTGCCTTGTGACCTTAGGGTGAGCTTACATGACATACTTACAATCTCTATCAAGGGCTGGAGATGGCGAACAGTCACTTTTGTTATATTATTGTCATCTTGGTCATCCTTACGTCAAGACATTAAAACTTTTGTTTCCAAAGTTATTTTCAAGGTTTAAAGTTGATGGATTTAATTTTGATGTGTGTGAATTTGTAAAACATAAAAGAACATTTTTTCCACAAGTGACTTTGGTAGTTTCTCTCCATTCTCACTCATCTATAGTGATGTGTGAGGACCCTCATCTACTCCTAATATTTTAGGAGCAAGATGATTTGTGACATTTATAAATGATTAGTTAAGAACTACCTGGGTTTATTAATTAAATTACAAATCAGAAGTGAACAAAGTATTATAAAATTTTGTTCACTAATTAAGAATCAATTTGAGACAACAATCAAAACATTTAGATCAGATAATGCTTGAGATTACTTTAGTAACACTATAAATAAATTGTTTGAAAGAGAAGGAATTATTTATGAATCTTCATGTGTCAACACCCCATAACAAAATGAGATGGTTGAAAGAAATAATCGACACTTATTAAAAGTAGCTAGAATAATTTTATTCCAAAATGGGGTACCAAAAACCTTTTCGGGAGAAGCAATCTTAACTGCCACCCATCTCATCAATCAGTTACCAACAAGAGTCTTACAATTTGAAAGTCCACTAGATATTCTCTCATCTTGTTACCCACATATTAAATTAAGGATAAATTTAATTCTGAAGCCTTTTGGATGTGTAGCATATGTTCACAATCAAGATCAAGCTAAAGGAAATATTGACCCTAGAGCATTGAAATGTATTTTTGTTGGATATTCAAACACTAAGAAAAGATATAAATGATCATCCTTCATCAAATAAATATTTTATTTCAATTGTTGTAACCTTTAATGAGTATGAATCTTGAAGGGGATGTTATATCTAAGGATGTTGATGGAGATCAAGAAGTTGGACACTTCTTGTTACCAATACCAACTCTTGATGAGACTTCACCCATTCTAATGTTGAAAGATACTACACCTATAGTGACAAGAAAATATCCAAGAAGACGTAGGTGGACCTTTGTTATTACGGAAAAACCAAAAAGATCTACCTATAGCTCCTAGAAAAGGAAAGATCAATTTTTTTAGAAATCCTAAATATCCTATTTCTCAATTTATGTCATTTAGGGTCTATCTATATCTTATAGAACATTCCCCACCTCTCTCAATTCAATAATCATCTCACCAAATGTCACTGAGGCATTATCTCATAAAGAATGAAACAAGGCAATGGATGTGGAGATGGAAGCATTAGAAATAATCAATCATGGAAACTAGTTTACCACAAAGAAAAAAATCAGTTGGGTGTAAGTGAGTATACACCATCAAATATAAGGCTGATGAAACCATAGAGAGACATAAGGCTAGATTAGTTGCCAAAGGATATATCCAAACCTATGGTATAGATTATTTAGAAACCTTTGATCCAATTGTAAAAATAGACATAGTTACAATTCTTCTCTCTTTAGCTGCTAATTATGATTAGGACATACAATAATTTGATGTGAAAAATACTTTCCTTCATGGAGAACTTGATGAAGAGATCTATATGGATGTTCCCCAAGGATATAATATTAACCTTAACAAGGATGTTGTATGTAAATTGAAAAAGGCTCCATATGGGCTCAAATAATCACCAAGAATATGGTTTGACAAATTCTCAACAGCGATGAGAGTGATTAGATATAAACTTGTAATGGAGATCATATATTGTTTATAAAACAATTACTTTAAAGGAGAATGACAATCCTCAATTTATGTTGATGACATAAGAGTGACAAGAAATGACAAGAAAGAAAAAGAACACTTGAGTGAATATTTATTAAAAGAATTTTGATATTAAGATGCTAGAAAAACTAAAATATTTCTTAGGCATCAAAAAAGTTAACTCAAAATAAGAGATATTTATATCTCAAAAGAAATACATCATCGACCTTCTTAAGGAAGTTGAAAGGTTAAGATGTAAACCAATAAATACTCCTAGAGATCTAAACCATAAGCTTAGAGAAGCAGAAAAGAGTAGGCCTATGGATGTATTAGGATACCAATGTCTTGTAGGAAAATTAGTCTACATTTCCCATATTAGACTGAACATTACATACTTAGTAGGCATTCTTAGTCAATTTATACATAAGTCTAAAGAAGTTCATTTATAGCTGTAGATAGAGTTCCACAGCATTTAAAAGGGACCCCTAGTAGAAGTATTTTATTTAAGAAAAATAATCATATAGATTTAAACATTTATGTTGACACTGATTATATAGGTTTAATTATTGATAAAAGATCAACCTTAGGATATTGCACATTTTTAAAAGGCAATCTTACTAGTTGGAGGAGCAAAAAACAACAAGTTGTGGCATCATCAAGTGCAGAATATAAATTTAGAACTATGTCACAAAGTATATATAAAGTAGTATGGGTAAAGGGCATCTTAGAAGATCTCAAGATTAATAGATAAAAGCCTAATCGAATTCTATTGTGGCAATAAATCAACTATCAACATTGCTCACAATTCGGTACAATATGATTGAACCATACATATTAAGATTGATCAGCACTTGATCAAAATAAAGTTGGACAGTGATGACATTTGCACATCTTATATCTCCACACATTAACAATTTGTTGATATTCTTACCAAAAGATTAAGTAGGCTAATCTTCTAAAGATTCATATCTAACTTGGGTTTGTATGATATACATTTACCAGCTTGAGGGAGAATGTTAAGGAATGAAATTACAATTATACCAAAATTATAATATTATTTGTAAATATATTCTTATTAGTATAATACTTAGAACCCTTTGTTCAGGAGCAAATCAGATCGAATCAATTGGTTTCACTTATGCCGAAATTAGATCAGACATGCTCATATTTGGTAGATATAAATATGTGTACCTGAACCTTTTTTCTTACCTAATTAAAATTTCATCATTTTCTTTCTCTATTTCTTCTCTCATGAGCAAACAATTCTCTCCTTGCTGATAGTTTCTTCTTCCGGCGAGCTTCAATTTGAGAGTTTTCTAACATATAGATTTGAGAGACTATATTAGAATGTGTGTCAACACATATACACATAAACAGAATAATAAAATAGAATGAAAAAAAGGTAAGAAATCAATTCATCCCCCCCTTCTCTTGGTACTTCATTTAACCACATGAAACCTAATAGTAACTTATAACTTCAATCTTTGGTGAGTCGAGCTTTATTAAAATAGGTCTACTAAAAGATATCCTTATCGTCAACCTTTTTGTTTGATGTCATTATTGATTAAGTCTCTACTTTCTTATAAGTAGTCACAAATGTTGAATTATCAACTCTTTACGATTTATCATAAACTTTTCCTGCCTTCTTTATTCCTTACTATAATGAATACTTTCTCCAAATCAAAACCTTTTTACTTCTCATAATTAAAGATCTAGCAGATTCATATTTCAATTTGAGCCTATCAATAAATTTATAAATTCGATCGGTCCTAATATAATGTCAAAAAAAAGATGAATCCTCAAAATCTTTTGCCTAATTGATTTATATCTATCAATTTCTTGTCACCAAGATTCAATTTTGTTTGCATATTATCTCAATGGCCCGTTTGCTTATTTTATAGCCATTGCCCTTGAGGCAATTTGATACATTTTTGCTCCATGTGTCTTTGAGAAAGCTTTATCTTTCTTTCCCAAATTTCTATAGTTATAGATAAAAATAGATAATTTCCATTGGCTTTTAGAGTCATAGTTCTCCAAAGCCATGTTTTAATAATCGTGTACTCCTCTTTCTAAACTTGGAGTCGAGGATTCCTTCCTTCAAGTGACTGATCATATAAATGACTAAGTTTCCATCCACCAGCTAAAATAACTTCAATGAATTCACTCTATTAAAACAATTTTCTCCCATTCAATTTAAATTCTTTGGGAACATTAGGAGCTCTAAATATAACTTTGAATGCTCCACTGAGGTGCAGATGAAGATGCCATATCAATAACTTAGGCATACTACTTAGATTCTACCTCTTCCTATGAAATATTGTGCTCTCGCCTTCCATGAATGCCCCAAATTGAGGAATACGAATTTTTATTAGGAAAAAAATCAGAAAAATTTCTCCCCAAGATAGATCAGTCCATTCTATCACACTTAAGTGCTGGAGGGGAGGCAATAAGGGGTGAGGATGGTCTTAATAGCAATAAGAAGAAATCACATGCCATCAAACATCCAAAAGTTATCTTAAAAAGGCCATGCAAAATAGACTTTAGGTCTAAGAGTAAATTGAACTTCTCTATCCGTAATCAACGTCATAAATGAAAAAGTAGGTACTGAGGCATTCCAGAGGATCAATAGATACAGGATGACACACTGGGCTACTGTAACACCATGCTGAAGCTGCTGAGGTCGCTGGTTGCTGGAGAAGGCAGTGGTGGCGATGAGAGAGCCATTGGCTCATGAAGGAGGAAAGAGAAAGCTTAAGTGGAAGATATTTTCATTAAACAAATTTGAATTCAAGTTCAAGTATTTATAAAAGTCCGATACAAATGGATTTAGATTCGATGAATCAATTTCCTTATGCCGAAACCAGATCCAACTCACCCATGAACAGGAGAGATGCAGTACAACAAGCAAAAAGATGTCTACAAAAATAAAAGAAGATTATGATATAACTGTCATCCCTCGGTTTCCCACATGATATAGAGAGATAAAAAATTTCCGATTACTTCGAAAGCAACATAGATGACATTCCCACCTTACTCCTATGAATAATTAGAGTCCCATTTTGTCTCTAGGTTTCTGGTTTGGGAAGTTAGCCGGAGGTGTAGCCATCGAAGGCGGCGGAGCTAGCGGTACAGTCCGCCGCCCCGCCGTCGTCTTCTTCAGCTCCGATATACGTTGGTCTGTTCAGTTGGGCCAAACCCGGATGTGGAGACCTCGGGGGGCTTCCACTCTCGGAAACTGAACTATTTCGTTGCCTCCGGCGTCCTCCCACCTGTCATTTCAGAGCTTGCTTCTCACTGTGGACGCATAAAGAGAGCGAGAGAGAAAGAGAGAGAGAGAGAGAGAGAGAGTAGCCATTTCTTTACCTATATCTGGTCAAGAAGTAATGAAGGAATAGGGATATCTGAACCAGGCCCAACTCCTTCCCCGGGCAGAGCCTTCCGCCGCCGCCGAACATCATGAAGTGTTGGTGATTCTCCAGGCTCCTATCCTGGAGGAGCGCCACAGAAAGGCTCAGCAGAGGGAGAAAGGGAAGGAAGAGAGAGAGAGAGAGAGAGAGAGAGAGAGAGAGCAGAGAGAGAGAGAGAAAGCGAGAGAGAGGGAAGAGAGAGACCTTCCATCTCCAGGGGTCGAAGCGGAGCGGCGCCGGGTACCGGAGGGAATCGTAGTTGCTCTCCCTGGTGTAGACATAGATTCTCCACCCCTTGGGGACGACAAACCCTACCGAGGAGTCAATCCGGACCGTTCGTCAGAGCTCCCTGCTCTTTGACTCGTGGATGGGGGGTTGGCGTGGGCAGGTTCGGGACTCACCATTCATGGCGATGTCCTCGGTCGTCTTCCGCAGAACCCCGTTGACTATGGTGGCCAGCCGCATCGTCTCCAGTATCACCTTCAGGCACGCACGCGGATAAAGGTTTCGGACGATGAAGAAGATGAAGGGGGAGGAGAACGGCGATCGCTCACCGCACGAGTGAATTCCATGGACGTGTAGTCTCCCCAGGTCAACGCGCCTTCCGCCGGCGATTTCCGCCGACTGATCTCCGAATACTCCTTCTACGGAGAGAGACAAAGAGAGACAGAGACACAGAGACACAGAGACACAGACACAGAGACACAGAGACACAGAGAGACACAGAGAGACAGAGTTGTGTGAGTTTAAGGGGCCTGGAGAAGGAGAGGAGCAGAGATGTTACCCGAAGTTCTTGGAGGGCTGAGGTGTTGTCGTGGAGATACTTAACGGCCATCGTCGCCGCCGTGGAGACGGTCTCGAAGCCGGAGTAGATGACGGAGATGAGTAGGTCGATTATCTGCTCGTCGGTGAGCTTGGGCCCCGTCTGATGGACATCTTGCTCTTCTTCTCCTTCTTCCCGGAGGAGCAAGCTGAGCATGTCGCGGCCGCCTTTCATGACGGAAGGGCTACTCCTCCTCCTCTCCACAATCAGCCCCCTTAACAACCTGATGATCCTCTTCCTGGCCTGCAGAGCGACACAGTCACTTGGGCCTGAGGACGAGGAACGGCGGCGGATGGAGTCAGATCAGGAGAATGAGAGAGCTTGCCTGAAGTCCACGGCGGTAGGCGGTGCCGGGGAGATCGACGGCGAGAGAGAGGGTACCCCGAACGAGCTTGAAGAACTCCGCCTTGAGCTCCGTCGCCATCTCCCCGGTCTCAATCCCGGCGATCAGCTTAAGCGCCGACGAGAAGGCCATCTGGCCGAGCAAGGAAATGAGAACACACCGGAAGTCAAAAATCTCGCCCAGATTGGCGGTGGAGGGATCCTGCATCTCCAGACTGACCTCCCTGGCCTTCTCCTGGACGTCCACGGTGGCGCCGCCGCCGCCGCTGCCGCCCCAATCGCAAAGGTGGGACCTGATGAACTCGTCTAACGTGGGGAAGAGCCGCTCTCTCACGGCGGCGGGACCGACCACAGACAGCAGCGCGCCCCTCACCACGCGGTGGAAGGCGCCGTGGACCGCCGCAACGTTCCATTCCCCCAGAATCTCCGCCATGGCCTGCGGGTACCCCGGAACGAGTCCCCTCCCCTCGTTCATGAGGATCCACCTGTTGACCTCCAGATCCATGGACACGACGGTAGGGCTTCCCAGTAGGTGGGACGTGAACAAGCTCCCGTACCTGTAGATATTTCCGATCACCAGTAGCCAGATTTTGCTTGATCACGTCGCCGCAATGTTCATTATTTACAGAGGAGGGGAGATCCCTCACCTGGCTCTCTGCTTCTTCAGGAAGTCGGGACCACGACGGAGAAACTCTATCGTCTCGCCGACGACCGGCCAGCCCATCGTCCCCGGAGGGAGGAGGACCCTCCGCTGGTGACTCCTCAGTTCGTTCCACCTCAAGAAGAAGCTGCACAACACCCAGAGAAGACCCAGCGCCACCCCCGGACTCAGAAGGAGAGCCATTGCCCACTACTACACAGAGAACAAGGAGCAATGACCGTTGCGGTGGCGGGAGGAGAAGAGCAGCTGGTACACGAAGGGGTATTTGTAGAGGAAAAAAAATTATAACTTCATAGAAATCTATCTATGTTCATGAATTTGGGTTCAATCATCCCCTTCATTTAAAAAAAAAAGAATAAAATGTGTATTATTTATTCCCCCTTCATCTCCCCTGTACTGTCCGTCTTACAAGTTTGATTTAGACAAGAACAAGTAGTGGTGCACGTGCTAGTCTTTCCCAAAATAGCGCCCTCTCCAACCCTAGAATGATTCGGCGCATGCGACACGTGCATCAGCACAGAGGGAAGGGAATGATTTTATGAATAACCCCTCGTATGAGTAAGCAAACTTTACTTGTTCGAACATAATAAAAATTTATACTTATATGAATCCATGTTCATACATTCCAATGAGAGAGAGAGAGAGAGAGAGAGAGAGAGAGAGAGAGAGAGGGAGAGCCTTAAAAGTTTGTCTTGGTTAATTAATTAGTGAAACTTTTGACACTTATTTTTAAACAAATTGAGGGCCGTTTCGGCCCTTGTTATGTTTTTGGCGGATAATTGACCGCGGTGGGCCCCACTATCCCCTACAGCATCCCCGTCATGGTGGGGTTTCCGGGCCCTTCGCGCGTGCGCAGACGACATTCTCTGCCAGCGATCCTGTGCTGAGTTACATCAGCGCCAATTCTAAAATAATTTTTAAAAAATCATATTTTTCTTATCTTTATCACACTATCATTATTATTTTGCACGCGGTATTATAACTTTTTTGATACTTTTATGCATATGTCTTCATAATACCCAAATAGCTAGGCCCACAAAAAAGCCCAAAAAAGATCATTCAGCCGTTTTTCAGCCTTTAATATTTAGAGAGATAGAGATAGAGATAGAGAGAGAGAGAGAGAGAGAGAGAGAAGCTAGGGAACCATGCGATTTTAACGTTCTAAGGTTATAAAAAATTCATTCATACTAGATTATTATACATTAATTTAACTAATTTAATAAATCAGTGTACAGATATCATCCTAGAGCATTCACTCTGATTGGTTGGGATGTCGAGCTAATTCTTTTGTGACTTATATTTATTAAATATGTTTCTTTGAAAAAATGGAAAGCAGATCAGTTTTTAACTGGTCTAGATTATAATTTTTTTAAAATATCCTCTCTCCATCTTTCGACTTAAAAACTTTTTTAAAAATTTTTTAAATACTTTTTGAAAAGATTATAATTTTTTGTCAAAGTTATTTTTAAAAAATTAAATATTTTTTAAAAAAACTTCCCTCTCTCTCTCTCATCGTCTCTCTCCTCTCTCTTTCAAGTATCCAATTCTGTCTCTCTTTTCTGACAGCCTCCATGTACATTGCGTCCATCTCTGACGTGAGGCTCTGCGAAGCCGACCAGCAGCACGTGGGCAGAGGATTATCAGATTTCCGGCCGCCACCAAAGCCGCCTTAATTTCTCCCCACGTGCCCGGTGCCACGTTTGCTCTGCCCTCCCCCCTCCACGTGGGAGGCCACCCCCCCCAGTCCGGTTTTCCGCCGCCACGGCGCCGCCAATTCTTGCCGACGTCCCACTACGTAAGGGCCGATCTCATCACACGAGTTCGTGGCACACGGTGGATATAAGCAGTTGACAGTGGAAGACAGCGGCACGTGCGGGAATACAGGCCACACGATTCACTTTGCTGCGAGACGGGCCGAGCTCCTCCTAGAAACGTTTTTGGGCCGAGCATTTAAGCTAAGACAGCCTGTGATTATTGGGAATATTCCCCTCGACTATCCCAAGAATTCAAGCAAAGCCCAATAACGAGCCACCGCCCCCTTCCCATGGTGAACCAGTCCGCATTTTTTGGGTTCGGTACATTCCCGGCCCATTAGACAGGTTTTGACAAGATGATCATCAGAAGGTACCTTTATTAGCTTCACCGCATGGTAGCCTTGGTAGTCCTTGTTGACATCAAGCAGTGTAAACCCTTGACAAGAGCTTATATTGATAGGAGAAGGGAACAACCCATCAGTGTCTACCCAAAAGATAATAAGACCTACTGATTTATATGGAAGAGCCATCAAAGGCCTTTTCCCATTTTGACCGTCATAGGTTAATGCCCTCTCACCTCTCATTGTTGACAGGACACTTGGATAATGTGGGACATGAGATATGTCAATTAAGCCTCATTTGAGATAAGAGATTAACCCTTTCTCTTGATAAATTGACTTAGTAGGCCCTGCTTGTGTGGTTCACAATTGACCCTTGTCCATCTCATATAGCACTTCATGTACACTTAGTGCATCTCTTGCACATGCTCCCACCATCCTGGATCGCATGCCTCTCTTCATATGTGTTTGTGTTGACTATAGGTATGTGTTGTCATGCACCATATCAACTTATTCCTATGATATCTGAAGTTCATGGGGAGCTCTTCTAAACCTCAGTTCATGTTGGTAGAGCTATCCACTTGTGTCATGTGCATGCTCCACATGCTCCATGCATATTACACCATGCCACTGCATACACTTATACATGCAATGCTCCTTTGTGCATGGTACACTTTCTTGACATATCATACACATTGTGTGTGCCCTAAGTGTATGATGACATTTTACTCTTTGACCTTGATTCTTCAAGTTAGGGATGTGACAATCTTCCTCCATAATGCAAACCCAACATCTTTGTTAATGATTATTTTATAAGGTACTTATGAAGGAGGTCCTTGAATCATTGATAGGCCAATGTCACTCTCATATACAGTGCCTTCCTCTAGTCTTTCCCTCAATTTGGCAATCAAGTAACAGTAGATATCCATGTGTAATCGCTCATGTAAGTTTGCTCTTTACAATTTAAGATCGACTCCACCTTGTTAGTGTATTACATGCAATTGGTGGTACCCATTAATTACTCTTTTTTGTTTTGTTTGCTTGATACAACTTTAGTAAGTAGATATAGAATATCAGATGGATGGTCATTCCATGTGAAATTTAGCTATTAGACAAACCTATTTACCCATGCAACATTTTGAAACTAGCTTGTGCATTTAGTCTATTTGATATGGTATTACAACCTCAACATTGATGTAGTTGGCCCCATTGAACAAGATATGGAATATCTTGTTCTTTTACAAGGAAGAAGATACAGTCAATCACATTGAATTACACTTCACATCAATTATGATTGATATTTTTTTTCATCTATTATGTTGCATATGTAAATTAGTATCCTATGTAGCATTCAGCTTCGTCCACTACATGAGCTCTAGTGGGGTAAGGTGGTATTGCTCTGCCTTGATTTTGAATGATGATTGTCTCATCTATAAGCAATTGTAAAGGTTATATGAGAACTAGGTGATGTCTAATAATTTGACTAAATTTTCTTGGGTAGTTGTGACATAATGGTGAAGATATTCTTTGAGCATACTATTAATCTACTTGATCTAGTCATTTGTCTCTTGATGAAAATTGGTTGAGTGTCCAACATGGTGAAGAGGGCTATCCAAAAATAGTCAATAAATTATATGTTTTAGTAGCTAATATTATCCCCATAGTTCACCATGTTGGCTATGGAGGAGAGTGCCACTTTTTCTACTTTGTAGTATGTTCACATTCACCACATATTATAGAGGATTATGTCATTTTCTGATTGTTAGGTTTTATTCTATGCTAGAATCAAAAAGGGGGGCTTGAATTGGTTTAGTTTTAAAAACTCCTCTCCTTATAATCAATTTGGTAGATTCTGCCTTCTCCTTATCTATAAGAGTTGTATAATATCTCTAGCTTAATCATTATAAAGTTAAGAGATTTTATAGTAGCTCAAAGTAGTACCTACATCTATTCTCCAAAAACAGTCTTGTTCTTTGATTTCAGCTACTATAATTGCATGATCATATATTATTGATTACTGGGTTCAACTCTCATAAACTTTCACCTCAATTTTTTTTCTAGATTCATGACTCTAAGATGCCAACAATTGTTTAAAAAGATAGCTCCCATGAGTGATCAAAGAATATTTTAATCACAAGTTTATCTCACAATTGATATGAAATGATTGCACCATGAAAGTATTTTAGAGATGATGTAGACTTTGAGTATATCTAAAATTTTCTTCTAATTGATTTGCTTGCTATGAATTGAAGGATTTTTTGGCTTTAGACAAAGTTAGGAGGATCTTTCAATGGTTTAGTAGTTATCTTCAAGTTAATGTATTTAAGTAGATTGACTTGTCAGCTCAATCCTCACTCTTTATTTGAATTTACTGCATAAGATAACCTATTCCCAAGCTTGAGGTCATTAAGAGGGAAATGATAATTATTCTTTATTATTGTGGCCATTGGAGGTCAATAGAATTTATAAATAATTCTTGCATGAAAATCTTCTCCAATCTTCACAATCTTCTAATTATTATTTTTTCTAAATATGATTAATTGAAACAATTGAGAAACCCATAAAATATGTCTTTTTTAATAGTTATGATATCCTCAAGTGAAATAAATACATGATTTTTTTATCACTTAAGATTCATATCTAAATCGTATCAATTCATGTTAATCTATTAACCAATAAAATATATCTCATTAGAAATGCTCAAATAGTCAAAACTGATCTAATCTCCCCAAACAAAATATGATGTTGAAAAAACATATTGATCAATGATCATAGTATACTATATCACATCTTCTATAATTCAAATAATAAATGTTTTTCAATATATATTCAATCCTATTTAGAAAATCTTATTTGACATAAAAATATATAATTTAAGTACACTATTAATTTGAAGTCAAAACCTTTCAAAACTTATGATGTGAAATAATGGGTTTATAGACAATTAAGTGAACTTTTATATTTGTACTTTTTTAATGAAATTTCATTTATTTGACTTTATCACTGCTTTATTTACTATGACAATTTATATAGATATTAATAATTTTCATAGTAGTATACAAAATAATAACTCTTCATGTTACAATCAATCAAGTTAACTAGTTTAGCATCATGGTTAATCTATTTTGAGGTATACATAAACATTCTATGTTATATCTCTTATCATGCATATTATGAACTAGGTATAATTCAATCTTTTGGTTTATCTTTAAACTGATCTGTCATCATGAAAATATCATATATTTTAATGCTCCAGCAATATTTATAAAGTATATGGAAATAAACTTCTAAGATCAACTTAGAGTAGGCAACAACCCTATGTGTCCATAATTTGATATGCTTCATCTTATCCTATTGCCACACCAAATAGGAGAAACATAGGTTTAAATAACCTAATGCATAATTATGATAGCAACTACTTCATAGTCCCTAGATACTTAACTACACAAAGTAAAATAGGGAGATGAATTGATTATTTATATATCAATTGTCATTTCTCTTGTTTTTAAATCTTCAAGTTATTTTCTTAAATTAAATTTTCTTAAAATAGGGTGATGACCTTTGACCACATAGGTTCAGCCATTGACAATGGTGACAAAAGAATAGGTCGGGGTAAGTTGATAGGAGGAGAGAGTAGTAGAGATACCGGTCATGTGGGTGAAGGCCCTCAAATTAATAATTCATGATGTTGAAAAAACAGCAAGGGGAGTGTGTGTACCTAGTGTGAAAGAAGCTGAAAGTGAGGTGAGATTGGCTGAGGTAGAAGCGTCAATACCATTGGCATAGCAAAGGGTGTCATACTTCATAGGCGTCAAGGTCACATAGAAGGTAGGAGTTGAAACATGAGATAGAGTGGAGGACGCTAGAGTCAAAGAAGTTATCGTTAACTTTGTAGAAGCGTGCTTGCCAAACTACTTCCAACACTTAGTAGTAAAATGATTCTACTTCCTACAATAGGGATATAAAAGAAAAGTGTTGCAGCCATGTTCGCGAGGAGTATGACCACCATCATAGTGAGAAGGAGGGGTATCATCTCGAGCCTACGGAGCAGCAATGGCAAGAGCCAAAGGAGTAGAGGTAACACCTAGGGAGGAAGAAGAAGACTGAATGAGTATTTCTATGGTGACCCGAAGGGTTACTAAGAAGATGGAGGCGAGATCAAACATGTGATCCCTAGAGAGAACAACCCCTCAGATCTAAAATGTGATCAACGGAAGAAGTCCATGAGATAAACCCTAACATAAAACTCTTAGTGATAGCATTAGAGGGTTAAGAGGTCAGTAGTAGGAGGCTGATAGATATCAACCTCTTAGATGAGGGTTGGAGGCGATCGTAGAAGGCCTGAAGAGAGAGATCACCTTATTTGTATGAGAGAAGAAACTTGAAGATCTTCACAACTCAATCAATATTCATTCAATTGACATACATGGTCTCATAGTGAGCCACAGAAAATGAGCTGAAGTGATGCGTGCTAGTGGCTCGAGAATGCTAGGTTCAATGTTGTGAAGCATCTATGTGATAATGATCGAGTCGAGTTGCAACCATGTCGCATACAAAGGGTCTTGAAAGTTGAGGGGGTCCTTCGAGAGGTGATGGAAGAAACTATGAGATCTAAGGAAGAGCTCGAAGCTAGATGTCCACGATATATTATTATAACTGTTGAAGATGTATGACAGTTGAGTAAGTTACGTCGTAATGGAGTCACAAGCTGAAGGAACCACTGAAGAAGGGAGAACACTAGCTAGAAGAAGCTCAAAGGGCTCAGAGGTAGGCAATGGAGGGAGGTGAGACGATGCCATAAGGTCAGTGAGTCTGAGTTGGAGGGACAAGTGGTGGGGTGAGTAGATCAGGGCCTGACGGGCTGGTTTGGAGGGGCAGGCAGAGCTAGCTGGGGCCAGCTAGAGTAGTTGGGGCCAATTGGACCGGCTGGGCCGGTCCTGAGTGGGCCTGTCCAAAAGAAAACCACCAGCTGGCTCATTGAGAGACAAGCAAAATCCTAGCCACCATGGCCGGACAGCAATGGCACCCACGACAGTGACAGTGAGGGCTGAGGCATGACAGCAACACTGAGGGCTAGGGCGCAACGGCAACGATGAGGGCTGGGGTGCGACAGCAAGAGAGTGATGTCAAGGCGCGATGGCAAGGGTGCGATGGCGAGGAGGGACCTCAACGGTGGTGGCAACACCCTCGGCACCTGAGAATGACAGTGCCCGTAACAACACGACAGCAAGGGTGCAATAGCAAGGGTGCGGCAGTGAGGAGGGGCCTCGATGGCGATGGTGACACTAGAGACATCAAAAAAGAGGAGGAGAGCAACAGCACCAGCAAGGGGCAACAGCGGCGAGGAGGGCGACGGCGGCAAAGAGGGCGGCACTGAAAGGAGAAGGAGAGCGACAGCAGAAAAGACGACTCTGGAAAGAGAAGGAGAGCGACAGCAAAGACAATGATGCTGGAAGAGGGAAGCGATGATGCTAAAGAGCCGCCCAATGAGGAAAGAGACTAGCGAGGAATAGAGCGATGTACTGAAGATGGGTGGTGCACCAAAGAAGAGGAGGATGACGAGGGATACCTAAGGCTTTGATACCATGTTGACACAAGAAAGGAAAACCCTGAAATCTATGTAGTCTCAAAAGATAAAATACATGACTCTTATATAAGAGAGAGGAGAGATGAGAAAGAGAGAGATAATGAGCCCTAATGGGTCAAGAGTCAAATACCACTATTGAATACATATAAGGAAAAAGATCATAACATTCAATTTTATACTAGTTTGATTAAATCTCTTTAGCCTATGTTTAATTTTGAAATCATTATTTCAAATCCACTACTCTCATCTTGAGAATATACCTCATTTCATGGATCGATACTACTTAGAAAAAATACTCCATATGTCTAATCACCCATTAGATTTCTAAGAATTATAGTAATCTGTTGCATCATAGATTTTCTAAGTTAATCCCTTCTTACTAAATTTTTAAGCTCTTTAACAACCTTGATATCAACTCCATGAGTCTATCTATCCACTAGAACTATTGCTCTACCCATCTCAAATAAAATATGATACATAATCCAAAAGTTCCTTCACATTTTAATGCAATCACAAGACAAATAACAGAAAATTTTTGTTCAATATATCACTATCTTCTTGTAAGATAGGGAAGTTCATTGTAGAAGAAGACGTGTGTTAAAGCTCATCAACAACTGTAGTGCGTGATCTTTTAGTGATGCAGATGCTTATAGGTGTGCAATGCAATAGGGTCTCTCTTCTTGGAGATGTTTTGAGGCAAAAGATGGATGGGATGAAGGCTCACTGTTAGCCTTTTATGCTCCATTTGATTTCTATCTCCTCTCTCCACTTGGCACGTGTAGAATCATTTTAGGGGAGGTTATAGAGGGTTATTTTGGGAACCATTAGTACCTTCACAGCAACTTTTCTCATTTCCATCAAACTTTTTTGACATTAAAGGGGCGGTGGGTGGGAGGTAGTGTGTATTTGTATGAGAGAGAAAGAGAGATTGAGGATTTTTTTTCTAAAAAACAAATCCATACCTATTAAAAATTCCACTTGGTTTCCATTCTTTAGAAGATAAAAATAATAATAAATATAGAATACTAAAAAGCTAGCTCATTTTCTCAACCAATCAGCATGAATGCACTAAGATGAGCAGCATAGATGGACTTATTTCTAATGCGGTTATATTAATGTGTCATATGGTATGACTACCCCCAAGTATAAAACTTACAATAAATCCTTAACCTTTTCAAATTTATTATGCATGGAAGTCCAAGCTTCTCTCTCTCTCTCTCTCTCTCTCTCTCTCTCTCTCTCTCTCTCTCTCTCTCTCTCTCTCTCTCTCTCTCTCTCTTTCTCTCTCTCTCTCCCCCTCTCTCTCGCTCTTGCTCTCGCTATATACTAATACAACTTGTGGAGCTAGGGCTGAATTATCTTTTTGGGTATTACGTGACGTGCGGCCAACATCTTAGAAATGTGGGCCCACCCATTTGGGTATTAAAAAGACATTATGTATAAAAATATAAAAAAATATAATATAAATCACGAACACAATAATATCTACGTGAAAAATGTGAAAATATAGAATTTATTAATTTTTATCAAAGGAATGCTGATGTAACTGAGCTCCGGATCGCGGGCAGAGAATGTCATCTGCTCATGTGTGAGGGACCCAGAAGCGCAACCAACACGGGGATGTGCGAGGGACTCCCAATTTAAGAAAAGCCCATGTCAAATTATTCACTGATATATTGTCCAGGTGAAACGTTTTAAGTGTTTCCATCTCTCTATCTCGTTTAGATACACTAACATGCAACGTTTACCTACTAATACGAGGGGTTATTGATAAAAAGCGTGTCCCCTCCTCGCTGCCACCGCACGTGTGCACACATGCGTAGAATTATTTTAGGCGAAGGACAGAGGGGTATTTTAAGAAACATCAGCCCTTACACAACAACTTGTCTCAATCAAACTTACAAGACGGGCAGTAGAGGGGAGGTGGAGGAATAAATAATACGCATCTAATTCATTATGAGAAATAATATGAACTCGATGACCGAGTCTCTTGATCCCGATTGGTAGTCAAGAATCCCAATCCATGAAAAATAATTTCTCTAAAATTATAATTTTATTCTTCCTCTACATATATCCACCACCCCCGTCCAAGCTGCTCTTCCTCTCGCCGCTGCATTGGTCACTTTTCCTTCTTCTGAGTGTGTTAGGAGGGCAAGGAGGGCAATGGCTTTCCTTGTGAGTCTGGGGGTGGCGGTGGGTTTTCTCTGTGTGCTGTGCAGCTTTTTCAGGAGGTGGAACGAGCTGAGGTACTGGCGGAGGGGCCTCCCACCGGGAACGATGGGCTGGCCGGTCGTCGGCGACACGATCGAGTTTCTCCGGCGGGGTCCAGACTTCATGAAGAAGTAGAGAGCCAGGTGTGGTTTCTCCTCTCCGCTGTAAATAATGACCGTTGCGGCGGCGACAGCAAGCAAAAGCAGGCTGGTGGTGATCGGAAATATCTGCAGGTACGGGAGCTTGTTCACTTCCCATCTGCTGGGCAGCCCCTGTCGTGAACGGGGAGCCTTGCATGTCTTCCACGTCGTTTCGCGTAACGGCATAAGCCTTACACGTCTCGAGGCACACCGCCTAGGGCTGTAAGAGGTTTTCAATGAGCGAGATAGTCTTCCTTGTTCCTCCTACTGGGTTTTTCCTGTGACTCAAAAGGTGATCTCGCCGGTGACGTCTTAACTGCCGTCGTCTCTCCGGCGAGTTTCTAACAAGTGGTATCAGAGCTCCCAGGTTGCGGGCCGGGACTCGATCGCGGCAAGGTACAGCCGTTGGAATCGAGAACGCGCAATTGAGACGCGCTATGGCAGGAGGAAAGGACGGAGTGATCCAGAGGGTGATTCGTGAGGTGAGCGCCGGGACCGGGTTCCCAATGCTCACCAAGACCAACTACTCCGACTGGGCACTGCTCATGAAGGTCAAGCTCAGAGCCCGGTTGCTCTGGACCGCCATTGAGAAAGGGGGCGTCGAACCCCACGAAGACATGCAGGCGCTTGACGCGCTCTGCAGCGCCGTGCCGCCGGAAATGTGGCCGGTGATCGCGAACAAGGAGACGGCCAAGGAGGCCTGGGAGTCTATCGCCACCATGCGGATCGGCGATGACCGCGTCAAGAAAGCGTCGGCTCAGAACTTGTGGCGGCAGTTCGACTCGGCAACGTTCAAGGAGGGAGAGTCTGTTGAGGACTACGCGCTGCGTCTCAACAGCATGGCGTCGACTCTCAACACCCTCGGCGACAAGGTCGAAGAGACGCAGGTAGTGGAGAAGATAATCCGCAGTGTTCCCCAGCGTTTCAGGCAGATCGTGGTCGCGATCACGATGCTGCTCGACGTGTCGACGCTCACTGTCGCGGATTTGACGGGTCGGCTCAAGGCGGCGGAGGATGCCTTCGAGGAACTGCCGTCGGCTATGCACCACAACGGCAAGCTGCACCTGACTGAGGAAGAGTGGGATGCACGGCGGAGGAAGCGTGATAATGAGAAAACTGGTGATGGAGGTAGCAGCAGCGTGACGCACCGTGTCAGACATGGGCGCGGGCACGAGCGCGGCCGTGGCAGCGACAAGGGCTCGTCATCAGGCGGCCTGACGGGCAACTCAGGCCGGCCCAGAGGTGATGAGTGCAGGAGATGCGGGAAGCTGGGCCACTGGGCCCGCGAGTGCCGCTCCAAGCCCAAGAAAGAGCAGGCCCACGTCGTCCAGAATGAGGAGGAGGCCTCGCTCCTTCTCGTGAAGTCAACGACGGCCAGATCGACGGTGCCGCCACCAACCTCCACTCCACCACGTTTTGCTGCGACTCCGCAGGCAGAGGATCGGCTCCGGCGTGCAAGCCCACCGCCGTCGGGAGCAAAAGGGGTCCCCGTCAATGGAGGGGCCGCCAAAGAAGAGCGGAAGCCAGGCGCCCAGACCCAGATCCACCTGCGGGAAGAGAAGGTGTTCGCCCACCTTGAAGAGGAGGAGCTGCGTGATGAGGAGGCGTGGGTCGTGGACACGGGCGCCACGAACCACATGTCGGGTTCCCGTACAGCTTTCACCGAGCTGGACACGAAGGTACTTGGGACGGTGCGGTTCGGCGACGACTCGGTGGCGCGGATCGAAGGCCGGGGGGCAATCGTGTTCCTGTGCAAGAACGGCGAGCACCGGTCCTTCGTGGGGGTGTATTACATTCCCCGACTGACGACGAACATCGTCAGCATCGGCCAACTCGATGAGGCCGGGTACCATATCGACATCGAGAAGGGGGCGATGAAGATCCATGAGCCAGGTGGACGGCTCCTAGCAAAGGTCATGCGCGGAGAGAACAGGCTGTACATTCTCCACGCCAAGCTGGTTCGGCAGGTGTGCCTGGAGGCGCGGGCAGTCGAAGAAGCTTGGAAATGGCACGCGCGCCTCGGCCATGTCAACATGACCGTGCTGCGGAAGATGGCTCGGGAGGAGCTGGTGCGCGGGTTGCCGGCGGTTGGTCCGGTGGACCAGCTGTGTGAGGCGTGTCTCGCTGGCAAGCAAAAGCAGTCGCCGTTCCCCCAGCAGGGAGAGTACCGGGCGCGGCGTGTTCTGGAGCTGGTGCACAGCGACCTCTGTGGTCCGATTGCGCCGGAAACGCCAAACGGCAGCAAGTATTTCCTGCTGCTCGTGGATGATCGAAGCCGGTACATGTGGGTGGCCATGCTGCCTTCAAAGGACCGTGCTGCGGTGGCCATCAAGGAGATCAAGGCTCGCGCAGAAGGCGAGTCAGGACTGAAGCTGGGAGCGCTCCGTACTGATCGGGGCGGCGAATTCACCTCACATGAGTTCGCGGAGTACTGCGCGGGAGAAGGTATTCATCGTGAACACACGACGCCATACAGCCCGCAGCAGAATGGCATCGTCGAGCGCAGGAACGGCACGGTGGTAGCAACCGCGAGGAGCATGCTCAAGGCAAAGGGGCTGCCGGGCTGGTTTTGGGGTGAGGCAGTGGCAACTGCTGTATACATCCTGAACCGGTGTCCCATGAAGAGCGTGGACGGCATGACGCCTTTCGAGGTATGGCACGGGAAGAAGCCGGCGGTGCACCATCTGAAGGTGTTCGGATGCATCGCCTACGTCCTGAACACGACACCGCATCTCAAGAAGCTGGAGGACCGCGGCCGCAAGATGATCTTCATCGGCTACGAGTACGGATCAAAGGCCTACCGAGCCTACGATCCCACCGCGAGGCGTGTCCATGTGACACGGGACGTGGTGTTCGACGAGAATGCTCAGTGGGACTGGGGCAGCGGCGCGGAGCAAGGGGATGCGGGCAGCCATGACGATATGTTCACATTGGAGTATGCCGTCGGGAACCAAGTACCTCCAGAGCTCGATGGCGCCATCGAGGTACTTGATGATGATGCGCCGGGACCGGAGCCGATGTCGCCACCGTCTGTGCACTACAGTGGGGGAGCAGCGCCGATTGAAGATGGAGGAGAGGAGGTGGAGTTCGCCTCTCCACTGAGTGTCCACATTGACCACCTGGACGCTAATCACGATGATGCGCCACTCTGGTTCCGCAAGATCGACAACATCGTTGGGCTGGCCTCGCCACGTGGTCTCACGTCGCGGGCGTTAATTGCAAAGGAGCTGCACGCTATAAGTTCTGATGAGCCGATCTCTTTTGTTGAAGCAGAGGGCTACCCGAGCTGGAGGAAGGCTATGGAGGAGGAGATGGCGTCGATCGAGGAAAACCGCACCTGGTCCCTGGTAGACCTCCCACATGGTCGCCGGGAGATCGGGTTGAAGTGGGTGTACAAGGTGAAGCGGGATGAAAATGGAGCCGTGGCGAAGTACAAGGCGCGCCTGGTGGTGAAGGGCTATGCGCAACGCCAAGGGATCGACTACGACGAGGTGTTCGCACCTGTGGCGCGGCTAGACACGGTGCGCCTTCTCATTGCTCTCGCGGCACACGAGGGGTGGGAGGTGCACCACATGGATGTCAAGTCGGCGTTCTTGAATGGCGATCTCAAGGAAGAGGTGTACGTGGAGCAGCCAGCCGGTTTCATCAGCACGGGCAATGAGCACAAGATATTTAAGCTGAAGAAGGCACTCTACGGCTTACATCAGGCACCTAGGGCCTGGAACGCGAAGTTGGACAAAACGTTGCTGTCGTTCAGATTCAGGAGGAGTCCCTCGGAACATGCCATCTACACCAGGTGGAATGGGGAGGCACAGCTAATGGTCGGGGTGTACGTCGATGACCTGGTGATCATCGGCGCCAGCTGCGACGACATCAAGCATTTCAAAAAAGAGATGGCTGACGCATTCAAGATGAGCGACCTCGGCCTACTTCGCTACTATCTTGGCATTGAAGTCAGGCAGAGTGCGAGGGGCACCTTGATCAGCCAAGGAGCCTATGCCGCCAAGATTCTGGAGAGGAGCGGGATGGCAGGGTGCAATCCTTGTCAAGTACCAATGACAACACGTCTGAAACTGAGCAAGATGAGCACGGAGCCGCTGGTGGATGCGACAGCATACAGAAGCATCGTGGGGAGTCTCAGGTACTTAGTCAATACTCGTCCAGATTTGGCATTTGCGGTTGGCTATGTGAGTCGTTTTCTAGAGGAGCCACGAAAGGATCACTTGGCTGCTGTGAAGCAAATTCTCCGCTATGTGGCGGGAACCAAGAGTTGGGGTCTCAGGTATGAAAGGAAAAAGGAGAAGCAAGTCCAGCTGACAGGGTTCAGCGATAGTGACTTCGTTGGTGATGTTGATGCTCGGAAGAGCACGACTGGAATTATTTTCTTCTTGGCCAACAACCCAATTACTTGGCAGTCAATGAAACAGAAGGTGGTGGCTCAATCTAGCTGCGAGGCAGAGTACATTGCGGCCGCCAATGCTGCTTGCCAGGGTGTGTGGCTCGCTCGGGTGTTAGCAGAGGTGCATGGCTCAGCACTAAGCGTGCCGATGCTGAAGGTGGACAACAAGTCTGCCATAGCATTGATCAAGAACTCAGTTCTCCATGGACATAGCAAACACATTGAAGTGAAGTATCATCTTGTCCGAGAATCCGCAGAAAAGGGTCAGATCAACGTGGAGTTCATCAGGAGTGAAGAACAGTTAGGAGACGTTCTGACAAAGCCACTCGGAAAAGTCAAGTTCCATGAGTTTCGCGCCAAGATTGGGCTCGTTGATGTTCGTGGTAAGTATAGCAAGGCTCAGGAGGAGATTGTCGTGAATGGGGAGTCTTGCATGTCTTCCACGTCGTTTCGCGTAACGGCATAAGCC